TGGGTATATGTGTCTGTGTGAGTGTCTGGTATATGTGAGTGTCTGGGTATATGTGAGTGTCTGTGTGAGCTTCTGCCTGAATGTGTGTATGTGTGAATGTCAGGATATATGACGTGTGTGTGAACGTGTCTGGCTAACTGCTGTCTCAGTGTGCCAGCCCCTCACCACGTATCACGCACCATTACACCCTGCCATCACACCACCCTACCCTATCACCTCACCGTGAGACCACCCCACCACCACCACCTTACCCCCACCACCTCACTGTCACACCGTCACACCGTCACCCCACCGCCACCCACCATCACACCACCTTACCCCCACCACCTCACCGTGAGACCACCCCACCACCACCCACCACACCACCACCCACCATCACACCACCTTACCCCCACCACCTCACTGTCACACCATCACCCCACCGCCACCCATCATCACACCACCTTACCCCCACCACCTCACCGTCCACACACCCACCCCACCCACCGCCACCCACCACCAGCTGTACAGCACCTCAGTCAACCAGTCAGCAGCAATCTTAGACAGTGCTAACAGGTATCTGCTGCAACCTACATCTCTCGGTGCTACAGACAGTATGCTTAGTAAGTGACCATACGCTACAGACAATATGCTTAGTAAGTGACCATACGCTACTGACAGTATGCTTAGTAAGTGACCATATGCTACAGACAATATGCTTAGTAAGTGACCATACGCTACTGACAGTATGCTTAGTAAGTGACCATACGCTACAGACAATATGCTTAGTAAGTGACCATATGCTACAGACAGTATGCTTAGTAAGTGACCATACGCTACAGACAATATGCTTAGTAAGTGACCATATGCTACAGACAATATGCTTAGTAAGTGACCATATGCTACAGACAATATGCTTAGTAAGTGACCATATGCTACAGACAATATGCTTAGTAAGTGACCATATGCTACAGACAGTATGCTTAGTAAGTGACCATATGCTACAGACAGTATGCTACAGACAGTAGTACGATACGGTTAGTAAGCTACAGGCAGTATGCTACAGTTAGTATGCTACATGCAGTATGCTACAGTTAGTATGCTACATGCAGTATGCTACAGACCGTAGTGCGATACGGTTAGTAAGCTACAGTTAGTATGCTACAGACCGTAGTACGATACGGTTAGTAAGCTACATGCAGTATGCTACAGGCAGTATCCTACAGACCGTAGTGCGATACGGTTAGTAAGCTACAGGCAGTATGCTACAGTTAGTATGCTACAGACCGTAGTACGATACGGTTAGTAAGCTACATGCAGTATGCTACAGACCGTAGTGCGATACTGTTAGTAAGCTACAGGCAGTATGCTACAGTTAGTAAGCTACAGGCAGTATGCTACAGACAGTACGATACGGTTAGTAAGCTACAGGCAGTATGCTACAGACCATAGTACAATACGGTTAGTAAGCTACAGGCAGTATGCTACAGGCCGTAGTACGATACGGTTAGTAAGCTACAGTTCACTACAGGCAGTATGCTATAGTTTGCTACAGTTAGTATGCTACAGACCGTACACTAATGTTGGTATGCTACAGACAGTATGTGGTCGGTACAGACCCGGGTTCGAATCCCCACATAGTGAAACCAAAGTGTGAAGCCCATTTCTGGTGTCCCCGCCTTGATATTGCTGGAATATTGCTAACAGCGACGTAAAACCTAACTGACAGACAGTACGCTATGTTCATTATGCTACAGACAATATGCTAGGGAACAACCGCTATCGTTAGTACATCAAAGACTGTGTGCTATGATTAGTACACTACAGACCTTGTGCTACAGACAGTTCGCTACAGTATGCTACAGTCAGGAGCACCATGAGATGTCTGTCCAGTACATAAGAAACCTTTGGTTCAGCATTTGTTAACATTTCTGACAAGTGACGAGTCGTTCCAAATTGTAGTGAATGCCTGTGAGCAGTGTTTCCAGTCATGTCTGTAACCATTGCATCATCACATTTGATGTTGGTGCGATTTCCTGGCAGTGTGGTTAGCTGGTTGTCATGGCAACGTACAACCACTATCGACACTTCCGCGTGAACGCACACAAATTTCGGCCCCATTTTTCATCTCATTTTCTGTTTTCATAAATTCACTATTTTTTCCAATTTCACCATCAATGTTTGGTTGCGTTCAGCTGTGGCTTGGGTGTTGAGTGGAGGCACTAACTTTCTCTCACTAACTAAGGTACAGGGCGAGTTGACGCTGACTAACTCTGGTACAGGGCTAGATTACACTAACTAACTCTGGTACAGGGCTAGATGATGCTGACTAACTCGGGAACAGGGCGAAATGACACTGTCTAGCTCTGGTACAGGGCTAGATGACGCTGACTAACTCGGGAACAGGGCGAAATGACACTGACTAGCTCTGGTACAGGGCGAGTTGACGCTGAAGGACTCTGGTACAGGGCTAGATGATGCTGACTAACTCTGGTACAGGGCTAGATGATGCTGACTAACTCTGGTACAGGGCGAGTTGACGCTGAAGAACTCTGGTACAGGGCTAGATGACACTAACTAACTCTGGTACAGGGCTAGATGATGCTGACTAACTCTGGTACAGGGCTAGATGATGCTGACTAACTCTGGTACAGGGCGAGTTGACGCTGAAGAACTCTGGTACAGGGCTAGATTACACTAACTAACTCTGGTACAGGGCTAGATGATGCTGACTAACTCGGGAACAGGGCGAAATGACACTGACTAGCTCTGGTACAGGGCTAGATGACGCTGACTAACTCGGGTACAGGGCTAGATGACGCTGACTAACTGGGGTACAGGGCGAGATGACGCTGACTAACTCGGGTACAGGGCTAGATGACGCTGACTAACTCGGGTACAGGGCTAGATGACGCTGACCAACTGGGGTATAGGGCTAGATGACGCTGACTAACTCGGGTACAGGGCTAGATGACGCTGACTGCCTCGGGAACAGGGCGAAATGACGCTGACTAACTCGGGTACAGGGCAAGATGAAGCTGACTGACTCGGGAACAGGGCTAGATGACGCTGACTAACTGGGGTACAGGGCTAGATGACACTGACTAACTCGGGTACAGGGCAAGATGACGCTGACTAACTCGGGTACAGGGCTAGATGACGCTGACTAACTGGGGTACAGGGCGAGATGACGCTGACTAACTCGGGAACAGGGCGAAATGACACTGATGAACTCGGATACAGGGCTAGATGATGCTGACTAACTCGGGTATAGGGCTAGATGACACTGACGAACTCTGGTACAGGGCTAGATGACACTGACTAACTCGGGTACAGGGCGAGATGACGCTGATGAACTCGGGTACAGGGCTAGATGACGCTGACTAACTCGGGTACAGGGCAAGATGAAGCTGACTGACTCGGGAACAGGGCTAGATGACGCTGACTAACTGGGGTACAGGGCTAGATGACGCTGACTCACTCGGGTACAGGGCAAGATGACGCTGACTAACTCTGGTACAGGGCGAGATGACGCTGACTAACTGGGGTACAGGGCGAGATGACGCTGACTAACTCGGGAACAGGGCGAAATGACACTGATGAACTCGGGTACAGGGCTAGATGATGCTGACTAACTCGGGTATAGGGCTAGATGACACTGACGAACTCTGGTACAGGGCTAGATGACACTGACTAACTCGGGTACAGGGCAAGATGACGCTGACTGACTCGGGAACAGGGCGAAATGACACTGACTATGTCTGGTACAGGGCTAGATGATGCTGACTGACTCGGGTACAGGGCTAGATGATGCTGACTAACTCTGGTACAGGGCAAGATGACGCTGACTGACTCGGGAACAGGGCAAAATGACCCTGACTAACTCGGGTACAGGGCGAAATGACACTGACTAACTTGGGTACAGGGCAAGATAATGCTGACTGACTCGGGAACAGGGCGAAATGACACTTACTAGCTCTGGTACAGAGCTAGATGACCCTGACTAACTTGGGTACAGGGCGAGATGACCCTGACTAACTCGGGTACAGGGCTAGATGACGCTGACTAACTCAGGTATAGGGCTAGATGACACTGATGAACTCTGGTACAGGGCTAGATGATGCTGACTAACTCGGGTATAGGACTAGATGACACTGAGGAACTCTGGTACAGGGCTAGATGATGCTGACTAACTCGGGTATAGGACTAGATGACACTGAGGAACTCTTGTACAGGGCTAGATGACACTGACTAACTCGGGTACAGGGCGAGATGACGCTGATGAACTCGGGTACAGGGCTAGATGATGCTGACTAACTCGGGTATAGGGCTAGATGACACTGATTAACTCTGGTACAGGGCCAGATGACACTGACAAACTCGGGTACAGGGCGAGATGACACCGACTAACTCAGGTACAGGGCGAGATGACGCTGACGAACTTGGGTACAGGTCTTGATGACACTGACTAACTCTGGTACAGGGCTAGATGACGCTGACGAACTCTGGTACAGGGCGAGATGATGCTGACTAACTCTGGTACAGGGCTAGATGACGCTGACGAACTCGGGTACAGGGCTAGATGACACTGACGAACTCTGGTATAGGGCATAGATGACACTGACTAACTCTGGTACAGGGCTAGATGACACTGACGAACTATGATAAAGGGCTAGATGACGCTGACGAACTCTGGTACAGGGCGAGATGATGCTGACTAACTCTGGTACAGGGCTAGATGACACTGACTATCTCTGGTACAGGGCTAGATGACACTGACGAACTCTGGTATAGGGCGAGATGACCCTGACTAACTCTGGTACAGGGCTAGATGACACTGACGAACTCTGGTATAGGGCATAGATGACACTGACTAACTCTGGTACAGGGCTAGATGACACTGACGAACTATGATACAGGGCGGGATGACGCTGACTCACTCTGGTACAGGGCTAGATGACACTGACTAACCATGATACAGAACGCTCTCACTCTGGTACAGGGCTAGATGACACTGACTAACTCTGGTACGGGGCAAGATGACGCTCACTAGCTCTCTAACTCTGGTACAGAGCGAGATGCTGCTTACTCTATAGTTGCTAAGCAACTAGGTTGTCATATATCACAGTGGATATTGGATGTCGTATCAATGTGGGTATTGGATGTCATATATCAGGGTGGGCATTTGATGTCAAATCAGGGTGGGTATTGGATGTCATATATCAGGGTGGATATTTGATGTCATATCAGGGTGGACATTGGATGTCATCAGGGTGGGTATTGGATGTCATATATCAGGGTGGGTATTGGATGTCATATCAGGGTGGATATTGGATGTCATATATCAGGGTGGGCATTGGATGTCATATATCAGGGTGGGCATTGGATGTCATATATCAGGGTGGGTATTGGATGTCATATATCAGGGTGGATATTTGATGTCATATATCAGGGTGGATATTGGATGTCATATATCAGGCTGGGCATTGGATGTCAAATCAGGGTGGGTATTGGATGTCATATATCAGGGTGGATATTGGATGTCATATATCAGGGTGGGTATTGGATGTGATATCAGGGTGGATATTGGATGTCATATATCAGGGTGGGTATTGGATGTCATATATCAGGGTGGGTATTGGATGTGATATCAGGGTGGATATTGGATGTCATATATCAGGGTGGGCATTGGATGTCATATATCAGGGTGGGTATTGGATGTGATATCAGGGTGGATATTGGATGTCATATATCAGGGTGGATATTGGATGTCATATATCAGGGTGGGTATTGGATGTCATATATCAGGGTGGATATTGGATGCCATAAGTCAGGGTGGGTATTGGATGTCATTTATGTCAGGATGGCTATTGGATGTCATATATCAGGGTGGGTATGGGGCACTATCATATAGTCACTATGTTGATTGTTGTAGAGAAGGTTGTGAAGTGCTGACTCTTCAGAATACACCTTCCACCATTACAACACTCAAGTTTCCCCGACAGCCACCCCATACCTCTGTCCTTGTAGACTGGTCTTGAGTTGAGTCTGGTAGACGTCTGTGTTATGCATGTAAACATGAAACAGTGCAGTTCTAAATCTTGAGCTTGAATTCCTAAACATATCTTCATACAGAACACATTGTCAAAATATATTCATACATGCAGCACCTAATCTTTCACAGAGTGATAGTTATCAAAGTTACAACACAGTTACCTTAATTACAACGTAGTTACCATAGTTACAACATAGTTGCCATGGTTACCACACTGTAGTCTTTTAACTGGGAGGGTGTCAGAGTATCATTGCCATGGTTACATCTTGAGATTGGAGGGTAGGACAAAAACCCTACCGGACAAAATCCGATAAGACAAAATGTCTGCACACTGCGGACAAAGTCCGGATTTTGTCCAAAGAAATTTTGTCCCATGGGATTTTGTATGCTTGGGATTTTGTCAGTCCCCCTTGAGATATGTGTGTGGCAACGAGTCACATCAGAAGGTCTGCCACACCTTGTATTGTTTCAGGAGGATCAGTACGAACTAGTTCCACTTGTTGACTTTTGTAAACACAATACAGAGAGAGCTGGGTTGTTTGGTGAAGCCTGGTGCAACTGTCACAGCTAACACTGAGGACTTGTAAAGACAGGCTTGTGATGTCAGACTTGTAAAGACAGGCTTGTGATGTCAGACTTGTAAAGACAGGCTTGTAATGTCAGACTTGTAAAGACAGGCTTGTGAGGTCAGACTTGTAAAGACAGGTTTGTGATGTCAGACTTGTGAAGACAGGCTTGTGATGTCAGACTTGTAAAGACAGGCTTGTGAGGTCAGACTTGTAAAGACAGGCTTATGAGGTCAGACTTGTAAAGACAGGCTTATGAGGTCAGACTTGTAAAGACAGGTTTGTGATGTCAGACTTGTAAAGACAGGCTTATGAGGTCAGACTTGTGAAGACAGGCTTATGAGGTCAGACTTGTAAAGACAGGCTTGTGAGGTCAGACTTGTAAAGACAGGTTTGTGAGGTCAGACTTGTGAAGACAGGCTTATGAGGTCAGACTTGTAAAGACAGGTTTGTGAGGTCAGACTTGTGAAGACAGGCTTGTGAGGTCAGACTTGTAAAGACAGGCTTGTTAGGTTAAACTTGAGTGAGGGCTGAACGAGATCAAAGTCATTGATTGATTTACTGTCTGTCAACATTATACTATCCACACAAGGGACAGTGAGGTGGGGAAGCATGTAGACTACCACAGACACAGGCGTTACATTGTTTATGGTTATGATGATTGACTTATGTTGCATATTGCAGTGCTGACTGACTCTTACTTACTATATTACAGGGATGATTGACTTTAATGTTGTATATTGCAGTGCTCACTGATGGTTACTTCGTGTATTACAGAGATGACTCACTTTAATGTTGTATATTGCAGTGCTCACTGACGGTTACTTCATGTATTACAGGGCTGACTGACTTTAATGTTGTATATTGCACTGTACTGTTGTATATTGCAGTGCTTGACGGTTACTTCATGTATTACAGGGCTGACTGACTTTAATGTTCACTGACGGTTACTTCATATATTACAGGGCTGACTGACTTTAATGTTGTATATTGCGTGCTCACTGTATACTTCATGCAGGGATGATGACTGACTGTTACGTTGTATATTGCAGGGCTGACTGACTGTTACGTTGTATATTGCAGGGCTGACTGACTGTTACGTTGTATATTGCAGGGCTGACTGACTGTTACGTTGTATATTGCAGGGCTGACTGACTGTTACGTTGTATATTGCAGGGCTGACTAACTTTAATGTTGTATATTGCAGGGATTACTGAGTTCAATGTTGTATATTGCAGGGCAGCTTACATCTCCTATGGCGGACTGCTGATGAGACTCAAGGGTGACCCCAACAATCTACACGGGTTTGAAGTTGATTCTCATGTTTATCTCATGATGAAGAAGCTGGCTTTCTGAGGTTGTCACGGCAACAGGTTGTCATTTTTGTGTGTACTCAGCATCTATTGTATTACTGATGTATGAGCGCACAGATGTCAGACTCTGGTTGCCAGGGTCACAGTTGAACTCCAAGGAGGTCAACCCACACAAGGTCACTCAAGACAAGAATCCTTTCATAAGACTGAAGCGCCCAGCATGCAAAGTAAAGTTTTTAGATCCCCTTCTTCAAATCTAGATGTTTGGTAAGTCACTGGAAAGTACATCTCCTGAGAATTATAGAAATCTGACCTTTATGTCAAAGCATATTTTCACTGAGAACTATAAGTTTCAGTGACCCATTGAAGTCCCGATGTATTAGTCAGTGTGGCAGACAGGAGACCTGTCGGTCTCTGTTGGTGATGGGTTTTATTGGGCCCTGTAGGTAGGTCAAGGCACTTCATGAGACATTAGTACGTCCAGTGGCAAACAATGTTTCATACTTTTTTTGAATGGTCTCATGGTTGTCAGTTGACAGTAACGAACCGAAATTCTTGCAGGAATAACAAATTTCCGATCAAACCACCCCACATTAGCCAACTACTATAACTGTCCACAGCTCGCTGTGACAGCCAATCATGCTTGTACACTTGGTCCGATCAATTAAATTGCCCTGCACAATTTGGGACCAGAACTTGTTCTTGAATATACGCTTGTTACCAGACATCTGGTGCCGGAAGTTCAACTGAGAACCAGCTTAGTACTGCAAAAGACTTACAGGCCCTATTTCACTCTGTAAAGAGTATCAAAAATTTTCTAGGGAAAGCAAAATATTTCACTCAAGCCAAACTTCCAGGTTCAGGCTGTGTGGTAACTGGGAGGCGTCCTATGTCTGACCCTGTGTGGTGCTGTGCAATAGATGCTTTCACTGTACATAGTCTCATCACAATAAACATTTTATCATCAACCCGTATATTCTGTATTTCTGTCACATTTGTCCTGCATCCTCTTATTGGCCACCTCCACTGGTCTTTACCTCAAGTATAACAAGTGTATCACTGTATCAACACTGTATCAACACTGACAGCTGAGTGTAACACTGTATCAACACTGACAGCTGAGTATAACACTGTATCAACACTGCCAGCTGAGTATAACACTGTATCAACACTGACAGCTGAGTATAACACTGTATCAACACTGCCAGCTGAGTATAACACTGTATCAACACTGCCAGCTGAGTATAACACTGTATCAACACTGCCAGCTGAGTATAACACTGTATCAACACTGCCAGCTGGGTATAACACTGTATCAACACTGACAGCTGGGTATAACACTGTATCAACACTGACAGCTGAGTATAACACTGTATCAACACTGACAGCTGAGTATAACACTGTATCAACACTGACAGCTGAGTATAACACTGTATCAACACTGACAGCTGAGTATAACACTGTATCAACACTGACAGCTGAGTATAACACTGTATCAACACTGACAGCTGAGTATAACACTGTATCAACACTGACAGCTGAGTATAACACTGTATCAACACTGGCAGCTGAGTATAACACTGTATCAACACTTACAACTTAGTATAACACTGTATCAACACTGGTAGTTGGGTGTAACACTGTATCAACACTGACAGCTGAGTATAACACTGTATCAACACTGACAGCTGGGTGTAACACTGTATCAACACTGGAAGCTGAGTATAACACTGTATCAACACTGGAAGCTGAGTATAACACTGTATCAACACTGACAGCTGAGTATAACACTGTATCAGGACTGACAGCTGAGTATAACACTGTATCAACACTGACAGCTGAGTATAACACTGTATCAACACTGACAGCTGAGTATAACACTGTATCAACACTGACAGCTGAGTATAACACTGTATCAACTAGAGCTGTGTATCGTGGCCTAAGTGGCGAGACGATATATCCCGATACCATTTTAATGAGGCGAGACGATATATCATGAAAGTATTGGCAAGGAACCTGCGAGATGATTATCATCACGATACAATGGTGCCAATACGATACGTATCCCGATACTTTACAATTTCTAAAAACAGAACAGATATGACAGATAAAATGACTGAGACATTATTTGTTATACAGTAGAACTTGTCTCACATTCACACACACACACACACACACACACACACACACACACACACACACACACACACACACACACACACACACGTAAAAAGTAGTTGATCTAATGAAGTTTCAGCATTTAAAGCTCAAGAAAGTACAGTCAAACATATTCAGTTTACCTTGATCTAATGTATATACATTTTAAACTGAAGTGTCCCTTGGGGAGTTGTGTTTCTACACCAATGCTTTCACAAGCAATTCAATGTAATTTATATCATCATTGACAAAACTCTTAAGTCTTTCTAAATTTTATCTTATCTTTGTTCTCTTTCTTAACATCGTTCATAGTTGTTAATAAATGGCGGTATTTGTCAAACAACTATACATATTTCATTTACAGTTCACAGAGTTTGAAAAATGTTCAGTCTTTTACAAATAGAACAGATACAAGCAAATTCTTTTCATCATAATGTGCTGAGTCACTTACATTCAAACTGTTAAGCTTTCTAACTTTGTTTAGTTTTGTTAGTGAACTACGTAAGTAGTATCGGGATATATCGTCTCTTGTGGCGATACATCGATGTATCATGGACCCTCGCGATATAAATATCCTGATATATTGCCTAAATGTGGCTTGTATCGATGCACTCGTATCGCCTAGTTGACGATGCAAACAACGATACTATCGATGAATCGTTACACTAGTATCAACACTGACAGCTGAGTATAACACTGTATCAACACTGACAGCTGGGTATAACACTGTATCAACACTGACAGCTGAGTATAACACTGTATCAACACTAACAGCTGAGTACAACACTGTATCAACACTAACAGCTGAGTATAACACTGTATCAACACTTGACAGCTGAGTATAACACTATCAACACTGACAGCTGTGTATAACACTGTATCAACACTAACAGCTGAGTATAACACTGTATCAACACTGACAGCTGAGTGTAACACCGTATCAACACTGACAGCTGAGTAGAATGTTACCACTTGCAGGATGGATGGAGTAAGAATTTCGTACTTCGCTCATATGATGACATGAGTGTGTAGGTGTGGCTGCATGTACTAGCCCAGACTTGAGGTGGTTTTAAGAGATGCCATGGCACAGTTAAGCATGAATATCCCCCTCAGACACATTATACTGACTCAGAGCCGACCAGTCCCTGTTGTACCCATTGATGCACCAGGCAGGGACCAACACGTACCATATTTTGACGTCTTTTGGTACGATACGGCCAGGGATCGAATCCGCGACCTTCCGCTGTCCGGGCGACGCTCTAACCACTTCACCTGAGAGGCGATCCATAAGAAACAGGAACCAGTATTAAGAATTTGACTATTTAATCAACCAATAGATATGAAAGACCACATAACAATCCCGTTGAAAACACCCTTCTGTCGCCCATCTGAAGAATGTGTTACCATGGTTATACTCAAAATATGTTGTACATATCTGAAACATCATTTCAGCTGTAAAGAGATGATTTGAGGTCGTCTTCAAGACTTCTGCACTTCTAGTGTGTGTGTGTGTGTGTGTGTGTGTGTGTGTGTGTGTGTGCATGCATGCGCGTGTGCATGCGTGTGTGTGAGAGAGAGAGACACCAGTCCTATTCAGACCCATCCTCGATAATCTCCAGGGCATACGCTACAATCAATCTCCACTATACCCTGGACGCATCTATGGCTTGGCCCGATGATTTTATTACCCCCCTTGGCTGACTCCGCATTCTCACAGTAGCCAATCAGCTAAGCCGCCGTTACAACCGAACTTGCCAGTGTCAACAAAGATAGCGGTTGCAGCCGCGAAAGTTTGTTCACAATGCGACTCAGATTTTTGGGGAAATCATACAGACAAATTTACAGGACTGAAACTTAAAAAAATATATGCATGAACACCTTCAACCTCTTTCAGAGTACCTCTGCATCAATTGCGTTGCCAAGTTTAATCGGTTAGATAATTTAAGAAGTGAACGTGAGTTGTGATTGGTCCGCTCAACTTCCCAGCGTAGACACCTGATTGGATAAGAAGCCGGCCAAGGGAGGTAATAAATTCATCGGGCCAAGCCGTAGATGCGTATAGTGGAGAGTGATCGTAATGTATACCCTGGAGATTATCGAGGATGATTCAGACCAAGCCACAGTTGAACAGGATACCAGCTTCATCATGGCATCAATGTGAAGCAACAGGCATGGAGACATCAAGCACCATCTTTAACATGGTTGTAGGACAGGCCTCACAATGACTTTCCGCTCTCTGGTCAGAGGCTCTCATTAGTCTACAATTGTAATCTGATGGCTCATTGTACAGATCAAGTTCAGGATAAACTGACAAGTTTCTTTCTCACCATAGTAACCATGGTTACAGAAAACTACGACAAAACCCTCACTAACCAGGAACAGGAAGTCATTTACCCAAACGTCAATCTACAAAGACACTGCTATCATACGTGTTCTGTTGGTATGTGCTTGAATGTTGAAACATTATATATTTTTGCAGTAACCAAGGTCACACAATCAGTCTTGTTTCTTCACATCTCCAGTTTTCCCCACGGCGGTTGTCCCCCCTTGTAGCACAGTGTCAACTAAACTTGAGGCCAGCTCAGTATCAATACTCGCAGGAGTTCCACTGGTCAGCTGGACTGTATCAAGGTCAATGCTGAAGTCGTTGTCCCCCCATGAATTGGACCATCCATCCCCAGACAAAGCAGCCTCCGTACCAACAGGAGTAGCTGGACTTGCAGCAACTGGATCTTCCGGAACATCAGCAGGAGTTGTCATAGTAGAAAGATCAGAATGTGCTGCACTTCCATCACCACTAGGAACAACAGCTGTTGTATCTGGAGATCTGGGATCAGTCGTTGTACCAGTAGTATCTCTGTATGGAGAATTGGGATCAGTCGTTGGATCAGTAGTATTTGAATCTGGAGATTTGGGAGCAGTTGTTGTACCAGTAGTATTGGTATCTGGAACAGTTGTTTTACTGGTAGTATCTGCGTCTGGCGATTTGGGAGCAGTTGTTGTACCAGTAGTCTCGGTATCTGGAACAGTTGTTGTACTAAGTGTATCTGTATCTGAAGATTTGGGAACCACTAGAGAGGATGGAATGTGAGATGTTGCTATGGAACTTGAGATCTGTGTTGGCGTTTCCTTGACAACAGGTATGAGATGGTTGACCTGTTTCAGTACAGCCTTCAGGTCGACCTGGCCAACACTGCCCTGGAAAAGTGAATGAGTGAAGTGAGTAAATACTGAACACTACCAAGAAAGATCTCCCTAAACATGAACAACACACATGCCAAGAAGATCTCCCTACATATGAACAACACACATGCAAAGTTATAGCTCTTGCCAAGATCTCCCTACATGAACACATGCCAAGATCTTCCCCTACTTTTGACAAATGAACAACACACATGCCAAGAAGATCTCCCTACACATGAACAACACACATGCCAAGAGGATCTCCCTACTTTTGAACAACACACATGCAAAGTTATAGCTCTTTAAATCTCAACAACACACATGCCAAGAAGATCTCCCTACACATGAACAACACACATGCCAAGGTAGAGTTTTTAAACTAAAGCTTTTTTACGAAACTAGCTCAAATGAATGTGTATAGGCCATAACTAGGCTTGCAAATATGGCTGTGAAGGGCATTATGGAAAATTGGATTCGAACCCCTTGAATAATTTCATCACTAGAAGAAACATATAGGAGCTTGGTCCAGTGATGTCTGACATCATCAAAGGATGACCCACAGATGATGCCTGACTAGCAGGAGCTCTGTGACAGGTCAGGACAGAAGCCTACCTAGACTCACTAGTATATGGAGCTCTGTGACAGGTCAGGACAGAAGCCAACCTAGACTCACCAGTATATGGAGCTCTGTGACAGGTCAGGACAGGAGCCTACCTAGACTCACCAGTATATGGAGCTCTGTGACAGGTCATGACAGGAGCCTACCTAGACTCACCAGTATATGGAGCTCTGTGACAGGACAGCCTCAGTTTATGGAGCTCTGTGGACAGGTCAAGAGCCTACCTAGACTCACCAGTATATGGAGCTCTGTGACAGGTCAGGACAGGAGCCTACCTAGACTCACCAGTATATGGAGCTCTGTGACAGGTCAGGACAGGAGCCTACCTAGACTCACCAGTATATGGAGCTCTGTGACAGGTCAGGACAGGAGCCTACCTAGACTCACCAGTTTATGGAGCTCTGTGACAGGTCAGGACAGGAGCCTAGCCTACCTAGACTCACCAGTACCTAGACTCACCAGTTTATGGAGCTCTAGGTCAGGACAGGAGCCTACCTAGACTCTGTGACAGGTCAGGACAGGAGCCTACCTAGACTCACCAGTATATGGAGCTCTGTGACAGGTCAAGGAGCCTACCTCTCACCAGTGGAGCCTCAGGTCAGGACAGGAGCCTCACTCCACCAGGACAGGAGCCTACCTAGACTCACCAGTTTATGGAGCTCTGTGACAGGTCAGGACAGGAGCCTACCTAGACTCACCCAGTATATGGAGCTCTGTGACAGAGCCTACCTCAGGACAGGTCAGGACAGCCTACCTAGACTCACCAGTATATGGAGCTCTGTGACAGGTCAGGACAGGAGCCTACCTAGACTCACCAGTATATGGAGCTCTGTGACAGGTCAGGACAGAAGCCTACCTAGACTCACCAGTATAGCTCTGTGACAGGTCATGACAGGAAGCCTACCTAGAGGAGCTCTGTGACAGGTCAGGACAGGAGCCTACCTAGACTCACCAGTATATGGAGCTCTGTGACAGGTCAGGACAGGAGCCTACCTAGACTCACCAGTATATGGAGCTCTGTGACAGGTCAGGACAGGAGCCTACCTAGACTCACCAGTATATGGAGCTCTGTGACAGGTCAGGACAGAAGCCTACCTAGACTCACCAGTATATGGAGCTCTGTGACAGGTCAGGACAGAAGCCTACCTTGACTCACCAGTATATGGAGCTCTGTGACAGGTCAGGACAGGAGCCTACCTTGACTCACCAGTATATGGAGCTCTGTGACAGGTCAGGACAGGAGCCTACCTAGACTCACCAGTATATGGAGCTCTGTGACAGGTCAGGACAGACACCTTGACTCACCAGCCTACAGACTGACAGAGCCTACCTTGACTCACCAGTATATGGAGCTCTGTGACAGGTCAGGACAGAAGCCTACCTTGACTCACCAGTATATGGAGCTCTGTGACAGACCATGACAGGAGCCTACCTTGACTCACCAGTTTATGGAGCTCTGTGACAGACACACCCAGTGCCTGAGCGAGCTGAGAAGCAGGGAAGAGCACCTGCAGGCACTTGTTGAGGTAGGGCAGGAGGTCCGTGATGTACGTGGCACAGAACTGACCAAACTGCTCACTCTCCTTCAAGTTGAAGGTCGTCTCTTCTGCCCTGGAAACAGAAGCAACACAGGTCAATCCTTCCTCCATGCACACAATGATTTCCTGGCAAACAAGGATAAGCTGGACCAGTACAGAGAACACGTTTACGAGAAGTAGGCGGTGCATGGCAATGGGCAAACCCATTTGGTTTGTGAAAGGTAGAGCAGATTTAGGCTAGTGCACATGCATTGCATGACGATGAAATTGTTTCTATGAGTAGCTGCACACACCTTGCTTTACCCATCGCACTACACTTGATCGCGGACAACCTGGGGCCCCTTCCCTAACAACAGCAAGCGCCACTGGGCAGCACTCATACATCCTAATACGGGTCAATTGTCAGGTCAGTGCTCAACCTATCCTTGTTGGCAAGTAGAATATGTAACACGTAAACAGTGGATGTAAACCTAATTTAACCTCTCTCCCCATCTACTTGTAAATATACCTCTGTGAATACAAACAATATTGATAATCTACCTCCTGCCACTAATCAACAAAGAGGAAAGGAAATAAGTCCAAAATACTCCAACTCAAGGAACTTCAAGGAACTAATTGTTGATTGGCATTCAAGAAGTTGGTGAGTTAATAGTGAGTGAGTGAGTGAGTGGGTATGGTTAAGCAATATTCCAGCAATACCACAGCGGGGAACACCAGAAATAAGCTTCACACATCGTACCCATGAGGGTAGACAGTAGATTTTCTACAATGCCCTGACAATGCTATGATGTCATGAACTTGATGATGTCACAATGCTATGACATCGCTGCACTGCAAGTCTAATGACAGTACCGTGTCATCCTCGTGTCTATTGATATCAATTATACCAACACTCGATAAAAGTAAAAAGATCTTTGGCAAGCCTTGGATATATGTAACTTTATCAACTCGTGTTGATATAATTGATATCAGTAGACAGTTGGGTGAGATTCTCTATTTAACCACTAGGCCTCTGCTTAGTTCATAATAAAGCCCAACACCCACGCAAAACAGTTCATCAGAATCCAGTTGGTTAATAATAAAGCCCAACACCCACGCAAAACAGTTCATCAGAATCCAGTTGGTTAATAATAAAGCCCAACACCCACGCAAAACAGTTCATCAGAATCCAGTTAGTTAATAGCCCAACACCCACGCTAAAACAGTTCATCAGAATCCAGTTGGTTAATAATAAAGCCCAACACCCACGAAAACAGTTCATCAAGAATCCAGTTGAAAGCCCAACACCCATCTTCATCAGAATGTTCAAGTAGAGAGAAGTACGTGTATCTCTATCAGAATGTGGCACGTACGAGAGAAGGACGATCTGTATCAGAGTGTGGCAAGTAGAGAGAAGGATGTATCTGTATCAGAGTGTGGCAAGTGGAGAGAAGGATGTATCTGTATCAGAGTGTGGCAAGTACAGAGAAGGACGTATCTGTATCAGAGTGTGGCAAGTAGAGAGAAGGATATATCTGTATCAGAGTGTGGCAAGTAGAGAGAAGGGCGTATCTGTATCAGAATGGCAAGTAGAGAGAAGGACGTATCTGTATCAGAGTGTGGCAAGTAGAGAGAAGAAGGACGATATCTATATCAGAGTGTGGCAAGTAGAGAGAAGGAGGTATCTGTATCAGAGTGTGGCAAGTAGAGAGAAGGATCGTGATCTGTATCAGAGTGTGGCAAGTAGAGAGAAGGACGTATCTATATCAGAGTGTGGAAAGTAGAGAGAAGGACGTATCTGTATCAGAGTGTGGCAAGTAGAGAGAAGGACGTATCTGTATCAGAGTGTGGCAAGTAGAGAGAAGGACGTATCTATATCAGAGTGTGGCAAAGTAGAGAGAAGGACGTATCTGTATCAGAGTATGGCAAGTAGAGAGAAGGACGTATCTGTATCAGAGTGTGGCAAGTAGAGAGAAGGACGTATCTGTATCAGAGTGTGGCAAGTGGAGAGAAGGACGTATCTGTATCAGAGTGTGGCAAGTAGAGAGAAGGACGTATCTGTATCAGAGTGTGGCAAGTAGAGAGAAGGACGTATCTGTATCAGAGTGTGGCAAGTGGAGAGAAGGAGGTATCTGTATCAGAGTGTGGCAAGTAGAGAGAAGGACGATATCTGTATCAGAGTGTGGCAAGTAGAGAGAAGGACGTATCTGTATCAGAGTGTGGCAAGTAGAGAGAAGGACGTATCTGTATCAGAGTGTGGCAGTTTGGAGAAGGACGATTACTGTATCAGAGCAATATTCCAGCAACATCAGAGTGTGGCAAGGACACCAGAAAATGGGCTTCACAGAGTGTGGCAAGTGGGGATTCAACTGGATCGTATCTGTATCAGAGCGTGGCAAGTAGAGAGAAGGATTATCTGTATCAGATGTGGCAAGTAGAGAAGGACGTATCTGTATCAGAGTGTGGCAAGTGGAGAGAAAAGGATGTATCTGTATCAGAGTGTGGCAAGTAGAGAGAAGGACGATCTGTATCAGAGTGTGGCAAGTAGAGAGAAAGACGATCTGTATCAGAGTGTGGCAAGTGGAGAGAAGGGGACGTATCTGTATCAGAGTGTGGCAAGTGGAGAGAAGGACGATCTGTATCAGAGTGTGGCAAGTAGAGAGAAGGATGTATCTGTATCAGAGTGTATGGCAAGTAGAGAGAAGGACGTATCTGTATCAGAGTGTGGCAAGTAGAGAGAAGGACGTATCTGTATCAGAGTGTGGCAAGTAGAGAGAAGGACGATCTGTATCAGAGTGGCAAGTGGCAAGTAGAGAGAAGGACGTATCTGTATCAGAGTTGTGTAAGTGGAGAGAAGGACGTATCTGTATCAGAGTGTGGCAAGAGGAGAGAAAGGACGTATCTGTATCAGAGTGTGGCAAGTAGAGAAAGGACGTATCTGTATCAGAGTATGGCAAAGTAGGAGAGAAGGAGGAGAGTATCTGTATCAGAATCAGACCTGTAAGTGTGGCAAGTAGAGAGAAGGACGATCTGTATCAGAGTGTGGCAAGTGGAGAGAAGGACGTATCTGTATCAGAGTGTGGCAAGCAGAGAGAAGGACGATCTGTATCAGAGTGTGGCAAGTAGAGAGAAGGACGAAACGTATCTGTATCAGAGTGTGGCAAGTAGAGAGAAGGAGAGAAGTATCTGTATCAGAGTGTGGCAAGTAGAGAAGGACGATATCTGTATCAGAGTGTCGAAAGTAAAGAAGAAGATCTGTATCAGAGCGTGGATCGAGCATCAGTATCTAGTATGTGGCGCGAGAGAGAGGGATGCGATATCTGTATCAGAGTGTGGCAAAGTAAGAGAAGGAAGTATCTGTATCAGAGCAGCAAGTAGAAAGAGAAGGGACGATCGTATCAGAAGGACATCCTGCAAGGAGTGAGCAAGGACGAAGGACGATCTGTATCAGAGTGTGGCAAGTAGAGAGGAAGGACGCATCTGTATCAGAGTGTGGCAAGTAGAGAAGGGCGATATCTGTATCAGAGTGTGGCAAGTGGAAGAGAGAAGGACGATCTGTATCAGAAGATGTAGCAAGTAGCGGAGAAGGACGATATCTGTATCAGAGTGTGTGGCAAGTAGAGAGAAGGGCGATATCTGTATCAGAGTGTGGCAAGTGGAGAGAGAAGGATGTATCTGTATCAGAGTGTGGCAAAGTAGAGAAGGAAGGACGTATCTGTATCAGAGTGTGGCAAGTAGAGAGAAGGACGATCTGTATCAGAGTGTGGCAAAGTACAGAGAAGGACGATATCTGTATCAGAGTGTGGCAAGTAGAGAGAGGAAGGACGATTATCTGCACTGCAGAGGTGTGTAAGTAGAGAGAAGGACGTATCTGTATCAGAGTGTGGCAAGAGAGAGAAGGATGTATCTGTATCAGAGTGTGGCAAGTAGAGAGAAGGACGTATCTGTATCAGAGTGTAGCAGAGTGGCAAGTAGAGGAAGAAATGATCTATCTGTATCAGAGTGTGGCAAGTAGAGAGAAGGACGATCTGTATCAGAGTGTGGCAAGTGGAGAGAAGGACGATCTGTATCAGAGTGTGGCAAGTAGAGAGAAGGACGTATCTGTATCAGAAGAGTGTGGCAAGTAGAGAAGAAGGACGTATCTGTATCAGAGTGTGGCAAGTGGAGAGAAGGAGCGTATCTGTATCAGAGTGTGGCAATGGAGAGTAGAGGGAAGGACGTATCTGTATCAGAGTGTGGCAAGTAGAGAGAAGGACGTATCTGTATCAGAGTGTGGCAAGTGGAGAGAAGGACGTATCTGTATCAGAGTGTGGCAAGTAGAGAGAAGGACGTATCTGTATCAGAGTGTGGCAAGTGGAGAGAAGGACGTATCTGTATCAGAGTGTGGCAAGTGGAGAGAAGGACGATCTGTATCAGAGTGTGGCAAGTAGAGAGAAGGACGTACCTGTATCAGAGTGTGGCAAGTGGAGAGAGAAGGACGTATCTGTATCAGAGTGTGGCAAGTAGAGAGAAGGACGTATCTGTATCAGAGTGTGGCAAGTAGAGAGAAGGACGTATCTGTATCAGAGTGTGGCAAGTAGAGAGAAGGACGTATCTGTATCAGAGTGTGGCAAGTAGAGAGAAGGACGTATCTGTATCAGAGTGTGGCAAGTAGAGAGAAGGACGTATCTGTATCAGAGTGTGGCAAGTAGAGAGAAGGACGTATCTGTATCAGAGTGTGGCAAGTAGAGAAAAAGACGTATCTGTATCAGAGTGTGGCAAGTAGAAGAGAAGGACGATATCTGTATCAGAGTGTGGCAAGTGTAGAGAGAGGAACGTATCTGTATCAGAGTGTGGCAAGTAGAGAGAGGAGGGCGATCTTATCAGAGCAAAAGTAGAGAAAGAAGGACGTATCTGTATCAGAGTGTGGCAAGTGCAGAGAGAAGGACGATCTCTGCATCAGAGTGTGGCAAGTAGAGAGAAGGACGATTCTGTATCAGAGTGTGGCAAGCAGAGAGAAGGACGTATCTGTATCAGAGTGTGGCAAGTAGAGAGGAAGGAGCATCTGTATCAGAGTGTGCAAGTAGAGAGAAGGACGTATCTGTATCAGAGTGTGGCAAGTAGAGAGAAGGATCGATCTGTATCTGTATCAGAGTGTGGCAAGTATCAGAGAGAAGGATCGTAGAATCTGTATCAGAGTGTGGCAAGTAGAGAGAAGGACGTATCTGTATCAGAGTGTGGCAAGTAGAGAGAAGGACGTATCTGTATCAGAGTGTGGCAAGTGTAGAGAGAAGGACGTATCTGTATCAGAGTGTGGCAAGTAGAGAGAAGGACGTATCTGTATCAGAGTGTGGCAAGTAGAGAGAAGGACGTATCTGTATCAGAGTGTGGCAAGTGAGAGAGAAGGACGATATCTGTATCAGAGTGTGGCAAGTAGAGAGAAGGACGATCTGTATCAGAGTGTGGCAAGTAGAGAGAATGGATTCTGTATCAGAGAAGGTGGCACGAGAGAAAGATCTGTATCAGAGAGAGTGTGGCAAGTAGAGAGAAGGACGTATCTATATCAGAGTGTGGCAAGTAGAGAGAAGGACGTATCTGTATCAGAGTGTGGCAAGTAGAGAGAAGGACGTATCTGTATCAGAGTGTGGCAAGTAGAGAGAAGGACGTATCTGTATCAGAGTGTGGCAAGTAGAGAGAAAGGAGGTATCTGTATCAGAGTGTGGCAAGTACAGAGAAGGACGATCTGTATCAGAGTGTGGCAAGTAGAGAGAAGGACGTATCTGTATCAGAGTGTGGCAAGTAGCAGAGAAAGGACGATCTAGTATCTGTATCAGAGTGTGGCAAGTAGAGAAGGACGTATCTGTATCAGAGTGTGGCAAGTAGAGAGAAGGAGGTATCTGTATCAGAGTGTGGCAAGTAGAGAGAAGGACGTATCTGTATCAGAGTGTGGCAAGTAGAGAGAAGGACGTATCTGTATCAGAGTGTGGCAAGTAGAGAGAAGGATGTATCTGTATCAGAGTGTGGCAAGTAGAGAGAAGGACGTATCTGTATCAGAGTGTGGCAAGTAGAGAAAGGACGAGTATCTGTATCAGAGTGTGGCAAGTAGAGAGAAGGACGTATCTGTATCAGAGTGTGGCAAGTAGAGAGAAGGACGTATCTGTATCAGAGTGTGGCAAGTAGAGAGAAGGACGTATCTGTATCAGAGTGTGGCAAGTACAGAGAAGGAGGTATCTATATCAGAGTGTGGCAAGTACAGAGAGAAGGAGGTATCTGTATCAGAGTGTGGCAAGTAGAGAGAAGGAGGTATCTGTATCAGAGTGTGGCAAGTGGAGAGAAGGAGGTATCTGTATCAGAGTGTGGCAAGTACAGAGAAGGACGTATCTGTATCAGAGTGTGGCAAGTAGAGAGAAGGATGTATCTGTATCAGAGTGTGGCAAGTACAGAGAAGGAGGTATCTGTATCAGAGTGTGGCAAGTAGAGAGAAGGATGTATCTGTATTAGAGTGTGGCAAGAAGAGAGAAGGACGTATCTGTATCAGAGTGTGGCAAGTAGAGAGAAGGACGTATCTGTATCAGAGTGTGGCAAGTAGAGAGAAGGACGTATCTGTATCAGAGTGTGGCAAGTAGAGAGAAGGACGTATCTGTATCAGAGTGTGGCAAGTAGAGAGAAGGACGTATCTATATCAGAGTGTGGAAAGTAGAGAGAAGGACGATCGATCTGTATCAGAGTGTGGCAAACACAGAGAAGGACGTATCTGTATCAGAGTGTGGCAAGTAGAGAGAAGGACGTATCTGTATCAGAGTGTGGCAAGTAGAGAGAAGGACGTATCTGTATCAGAGTGTGGCAAGTGCAGAGAAGGACGTATCTGTATCAGAGTGTGGCAAGTAGAGAGAAGGACGTATCTGTATCAGAGTGTGGCAAGTAGAGAGAAGGATGTATCTGTATCAGAGTGTGGCAAGTGCAGAGAAGGACGTATCTGTATCAGAGTGTGGCAAGTAGAGATAAGGACGTATCTTTATCAGAGTATGGCAAGTACAGAGACGGACGTATCTGTATCAGCATGCACTGACCTGAAGAAGGCAAGGATGACCCTGTTGACCTCAAGTAATGACTGCTGGAGACTATCGGCAATTTCACAAGCGAGGTTGACCGGAGCACAGAGTCGGAGGTCATTGAAGGCAGTGAGGACGTGGTTACAGTAGGCAGCCAGTGGGTAGAACTCCAGCAGTACAGTCGGAGGGTAGACAGTGCCCAGCTGGCAACACACAAACAATAATGTCCATGACGAAAGATTTCTGTATTAAGCAACTACTTTCAAGTGAGGCTCAGAGCTTCTGTCTTCTGACAGCTACTGTATTAAAAACCTTTTATCTCTGAACCAGCTTTACTAAACATAAAGGTGTCTGTATACAGATACAAGGAAGTGGTAGCTTAACACAAACACATCATTTATTAAGACATGTCAAAGGGGGGTAACTCTTACACAACATCCAGACTTGGAAATGTTGTAAATGTACTGGTGCTATTTTACAACTGGCCCACTAACTTGGAATACATGTCACAGGGAGGTAACTCCCAACTACATCTGAAGGTCAATGTGTTGGTGTCCACTGACTGCCTGCTGGGGACAAGCGTACCTGTGAACCACTGCTGTAGCTGCTGATGCTGCTGGAGGACGTAACTCCCAACAGGTTGTAGGACTGCATGTTCTCCTCAAACCTGAAACCACAATCATCAACACTGGCCTCCTAAATTCAGGATTCTTTTAACATGCCTAGCACAGATATAATTTACAATTCCAGCTGTATATAATCGAGCCTGGACCAGATAATCAAGTGATCAACATCATGAGAATCAATCTATTGGGTTAACCAAGTCAGCAAGCCTGACCACCTGATCCCATTAGTCTATAAACAAGCAAGGGTTTCTGAAGATCAATTCTAACCCAGATCCTCACAGGTTTCAAACAGGGCTCCAGATAACTTTTGGGGGTGCGAGTGTACTTACACATCATATTGCAAGTGGAGGTGTACTGAGAATTTTGAAGGAGTACTGACATGTTTTTGTGTGAGCGAGTTGGTGATGTGGTTTGTCTGGACGATTCATCGATCACTATTTCCAACCATGTATTTGTATTTGAAGACACGTGAGAAATAACTGAGCGACCGTGTGATGCGCGAAATGTCAGGTCCGACTAGATATAAATAGGAACAGTGTAGTTTTTAGCCAATCGAAAAATAGTGACGCATATCGTTGCATGGCAACGCAAGGGATTCCTACTGTCGGGGCTTCCTCATGTGTAAAATCGTGTTTCGCAAAAGAAACTTGACACGTATTTATCCGAAATAGATTTCCATTTGCACAATACGGACGGAAATTAAATGTTAGACGTACAAAGGTATTTATGTGCGTACACGATACGCTTGAAATCTTATATTATGTCGTACTTAATTGAGTTTGAGGCGTACATTACGCCTGTACGCCCCTTATCTGTAGCCCTGTTCAAAGGTTCAGGACATTTTGTTCCAAATAGAAGCACACAAGAACATCACTGAAAACACAAAACATATAATACTGGACAACAGAGATAATCTCCTACATCCTGTCCATCCAGCTAAAAAGTTTCTTTGGATGAACCATGGAGGCTGAGGTGATTCAACTCTTGTGTTTGCCAGGATATAGCTATGACCAAGACAGGCTATAGGTAATATACCAACCTTGTGTTGGCCTCCTTCAGGCCAGCCTTGAAGTTCAGCAGTGCAGCTCTCTTGAAAATGGGTGGCAAGAGACCACGGAAGTCAGCGCCAACTCGGCTAAAGCTCAGTCCAAAATACATACACTGCCCCAGTAGTGAATCCAGTCTCCCTCCAACCCCACCCCGGAGATCTCTCTCCAGTGTACTCAGAAACTGTGACACCTGTAAGGTATAGTAAACATCAGATGGAGGGAATGTAACACCTTCGCGTCAGTCTCCAGTGTACACAGGACACCTGTAAGGTACAGAAAACATCAGATGGAGGGAATGTAACACCTTCACGTCAGTCTCCAGTGTACACAGGACACCTGTAAGGTAGAGAAAACATCAGATGGAGGGAAAGTAACACCTTCACGTCAGTCTCCAGTGTACACCTGTAAGGTACAGAAAACATCAGATGGAGGGAAAGTAACACCTTCACGTCAGTCTCCAGTGTACACAGGACACCTGTAAGGTACAGTAAACATCAGATGGAGGGAAAGTAACACCTTCACGTCAGTCTCCAGTGTACACAGGACACCTGTAAGGTACAGTAAACATCAGATGGAGGGAAAGTAACACCTTCACGTCAGTCTCCAGTGTACACAGGACACCTGTAAGGTACAGAAAACATCAGATGGAGGGAAAGCCTGGTACACCTGGTCAGTCTCCAGTGTACACAGGACACCTGTAAGGTACAGAAAACATCAGATGGAGGGAAAGCCTGGTACACCTGGTCAGTCTCCAGTGTACACAGGACACCTGTAAGGTACAAAAAACATCAGATGGAGGGAAAGCCTGGTACACCTGGTCAGTCTCCAGTGTACACAGGACACCTGTAAGGTACAGAAAACATCAGATGGAGGGAAAGCCTGGTACACCTGGTCAGTCTCCAGTGTACACAGGACACCTGTAAGGTACAGAAAACATCAGATGGAGGGAAAGCCTGGTACACCTGGTCAGTCTCCAGTGTACACAGGACACCTGTAAGGTACAGTAAACATCAGATGGAGGGAAATCCTGGTACACCTGGTCAGTCTCCAGTGTACACCTGTAAGGTACAGAAAACATCAGATGGAGGGAAAGCCTGGTACGCCTGGTACACCTGGTCAGTCTCTGGTGTACACAGGACACCTGTAAGGTACAGAAAACATCAGATGGAGGGAAAGCCTGGTACACCTGGTCAGTCTCTGGTGTACACAGGACACCTGTAAGGTACAGAAAACATCAGATGGAGGGAAAGCCTGGTACACCTGGTCAGTCTCTGGTGTACACAGGACACCTGTAAGGTACAGAAAACATCAGATGGAGGGAATGCCTGGTACACCTGGTCAGTCTCTGGTGTACACAGGACACCTGTAAGGTACAGAAAACATCAGATGGAGGGAATGCCTGGTACACCTGGTCAGTCTCTGGTGTACACAGGACACCTGTAAGGTACAGAAAACATCAGATGGAGGGCCTGGTACAGCCTCCAGGTACACCTGTAAGGTACAGAAAACATCAGATGGTCAGGTCAGTCCTGGTGTACACAGGACACCTGTTAGGTAAAGAAAACATCAGATGGAGGGAAAGCCTGGTACACCTGGTCAGTCTCCAGTGTACACAGGACACCTGTAAGGTACAGAAAACATCAGATGGAGGGAAATCCTGGTACACCTGGTCAGTCTCCAGTGTACACAGGACACCTGTAAGGTACAGAAAACATCAGATGGAGGGAAAGCCTGGTACACCTGGTCAGTCTCTGGTGTACACAGGACACCTGTAAGGTACAGAAAACATCAGATGGAGGGAAAGCCTGGTACACCTGGTCAGTCTCTGGTGTACACAGGACACCTGTAAGGTACAGAAAACATCAGATGGAGGGAATGCCTGGTACACCTGGTCAGTCTCTGGTGTACACAGGACACCTGTAAGGTACAGAAAACATCAGATGGAGGGAAAGCCTGGTACACCTGGTCAGTCTCCAGTGTACACAGGACACCTGTAAGGTACAGAAAACATCAGATGGAGGGAAAGCCTGGTACACCTGGTCAGTCCTGGTGTACACAGGACACCTGTTAGGTACAGAAAACATCAGATGGAGGGAAAGCCTGGTACACCTGGTCAGTCTCCAGTGTACACAGGACACCTGTAAGGTACAGAAAACATCAGATGGAGGGAAATCCTGGTACACCTGGTCAGTCTCCAGTGTACACAGGACACCTGTAAGGTACAGAAAACATCAGATGGAGGGAAAGCCTGGTACACCTGGTCAGTCTCCAGTGTACACAGGACACCTGTAAGGTACAGAAAACATCAGATGGAGGGAAATCCTGGTACACCTGGTCAGTCTCCAGTGTACACAGGACACCTGTAAGGTACAGAAAACATCAGATGGAGGGAAAGCCTGGTACACCTGGTCAGTCTCCAGTGTACACAGGACACCTGTAAGGTACAGAAAACATCAGATGGCGGGAAATCCTGGTACACCTGGTCAGTCTCCAGTGTACACAGGACACCTGTAAGGTACAGAAAACATCAGATGGAGGGAAAGCCTGGTACACCTGGTCAGTCTCTGGTGTACTCAGTTACTGCTGAAGACACAGAAAACTTCCGGTCTCACCTTCTGTACCACCCAGCCGTGGAAGAGAGCAGCCTCATTGATTGTTTCGTCTCGGGCCGTGGTGAGAAGTGGGTCCTCATCGGAGAATATAGCTCGATACTGTGTGATGATGTCAAACAGGTGTACCCGACTCAGCTCAATGGTCTTGGTGATGTGTGTGTACGCTGAAACAAGCAGCACCGGCTGGGTGTACTGGTGTGTATGTACAAATGTGTATCTGTGTGTGCACAGTTGGGAATATATAGCAGTGTGTGGACGTGTACAGGGTTTTACGGGGCACGTGATTCCTGCGTATTGAACGCAGAAATTTGATGAAGTACCCCCAAACTAAAATCCTGTGCGTCCTTGTGAATGCAATATTAATTTTTGGGGGGAAAGAATTTTCTGAGTTAGTAATGATATCCATTATTAGAATATAAACATTCTGTTCACTATCATTATTCTAATGACTTTGAAAGTAACACATATTATAACATAATCTTTATCAAATGGGAAGCATCCATGATCATTGATTTCATGCAAATTATTGGACTCCCAATTTTGGAAATGGACTCTCAGAATACATAAACCCTGAGTCCCCAGAACTCCCAATTTCGAAGAGCTATGTAAAACCCTGGTGTATCTGAGTGTGTATGTAATGGTGTCTATCTGAGTGTCTGTACAGAAGTGTAGGTGTGTCTGTCTGAGTGTCTGTACAGAAGTGTAGGTGTGTCTGAGTGTCTGTACAGAAGTGTAGGTGTGTCTGTCTGAGTGTTTGTACATAAGTGTAGGTGTGTCTCTCGGAGTGTTTGTACATAAGTGTAGGTGTGTCTGTCTGAGTGTCTGTACATAAGTGTAGGTGTGTCTGTCTGAGTGTCTGTACAAAAGTGTAGGTGTGTCTGTCTGAGTGTCTGTACAGAAGTGTAGGTGTGTCTCTCAGAGTGTTTGTACATAAGTGTAGGTGTGTCTGTCGGAGTGTTTGTACATAAGTGTAGGTGTGTCTCTCGGAGTGTTTGTACATAAGTGTAGGTGTGTCTGAGTGTCTGTACAGAAGTGTAGGTGTGTCTGTCTGAGTGTCTGTACATAAGTGTAGGTGTGTCTGTCTGAGTGTCTGTACATAAGTGTAGGTGTGTCTGTCTGAGTGTTTGTACATAAGTGTAGGTGTGTCTGTCTGGAGTGTCTGTACATAAGTGTAGGTGTGTCTGTCTGTCTGTCTGTAGTGTAAGGTAGTGTCTGTCTGAGTGTCTGTACAGAAGTGTAGGTGTGTCTGTCTGAGTGTCTGTACAGAAGTGTAGGTGTGTCTGTCTGAGTGTCTGTACAGAAGTGTAGGTGTGTCTGTCTGAGTGTCTGTACAGAAGTGTAGGTGTGTCTGTCTGAGTGTCTGTACAGAAGTGTAGGTGTGTCTGTCTGAGTGTCTGTACATAAGTGTAGGTGTGTCTGTCTGAGTGTTTGTACATAAGTGTAGGTGTGTCTCTCGGAGTGTTTGTACATAAGTGTAGGTGTGTCTCTCGGAGTGTTTGTACATAAGTGTAGGTGTGTCTGTCTGAGTGTCTGTACAGAAGTGTATGTGTGTCTGTCTGAGTACCTGTACAGAAGTGTAGGTGTGTCTGTCTGAGTGTCTGTACAGAAGTGTAGGTGTGTCTGAAGTGTAGGTGTGTCTGTCTGTCTGAGTGTCTGTACAGAAGTGTAGGTGTGTCTGTCTGAGTGTCTGTACATAAGTGTAGGTGTGTTTATCTGAATGTTTGTGTATGCATTTAGGTGTGTTTACATCATACATGTGTGTGTTAAAGGCATAGTTGCCAGGACATGTACTTTATTCCTCTTGCTTGAGTGTACACCACTACCACCATGCCGGCTGGCCAGCACAGGGCTCCTCACAGACACCCTCGCGCACACAAAGCTACTCTCACTTCCTCCCCAGTACACCAGCCACCCATACGTATCACATACGTATGTTAACAGGGTGTACATGTCTGTGTAGATGTGTGTAGATGTGTGTATGTGTGTAAGTGTGTACGTGTGTACATGTATACTCACGGTCATCTTTAGGAATGGTGTCTAGGATTCCCTGGAACCAGGAGTCTCGAGCCTGAAACAACGAGGCTGACATCAGAGAGGTCATGTCAGTGTTGACCAGATCACCCTATTGTGTTGTGAAACTCGAGGTAGTTGATCTGTAGATACATTTCAGTTGTGCACTATTTCAGCTACATAAAGGCGGTTTGTAGATAATCACAGGTCACGCGTGGATAATATGAACAATAGAGCAGAATTCAAACTGTCGGGGTCAGATTGAGATCAGGGTGTCGTCAGTGTAGGGGGAGGTTGAAGTCAGGGTGGGGTTAATGTGGGTTGAGGTTGAGATGGGGTAGGGTGAGGTCAGACTGCAGTGACACTGAGGTCAGCGTAGGTCAAGGTTGGGTCATGATCAAGGTTGACTAACCTGAAGGAACTTGATGCGGAGTTCAGCCTCCGTGAAGACGTCCATCCTGCGCAGGAAGCCGATGACGAGAAGACACGCTGGCAGCTGTAGGTTGGTCCGCAGCTGGTGGATCAGCTGGTTCAACATCAGCTGTGTCGAGGTCTTCACCTCCTCCACGATGCTCTGGGGGGACAAGTGGGTTAGACATTGAACTGGTCGGCCATATTTGTGCCAAGGTTGTCGGCGATTATCACCATATGACACAAAAACATCCGAGGCAAAAGTAGTCAAGTTTTCTTACATGGTCATTGATTGGTGTATCTATAAATAGCATCCTATGGCAAAATTCGCTTACAAACACATTCATAACGGCGACCAAGAGAGGCCGTAATACATCCAGCCGACTAGTATGGCTAGTCCGAAGTAAGATTGTGAATTATTTATTTAACACTTGACTGCTCGAGTGAATTGATGAACGGTGCTAATCACCATGATGACTGGGATGGCGGCATGCTTCTTCTCGAGGCGCCGTACATGAGCTGCCAGCTCCAGGGCCTCCTCGTAGTAGCCGTTCCTGACACACGTGTCCATCAACTGGGGCATCTCTAGCACCTCAAGCAGCTGTGTGTGTCGTTGCAAGGTCAGTGTGTTCATTCGCCGACTGAAAGGATAATATGGAAGGATAATATGTAATTTTTATGATAAAATTAATATTTTATACTTATCCTGACTCATACCATGATAAATAACATATTTAGAAACACATTCACGGCAGAATTTGTGCTATATATCCCAAAAAATACTTGAAGTTATAAGCCGCGAAGGGACCCTAAAGTGTCCGCCCAACCGTCCGCTTGGGCGATAGAGGAGAGAGTGAAGAGCAAGGCATGGCGAGGTCACGTGCCGGTTTTGGCAGGAGAAGGGTGGTAATTCAGGGTGAGTGATTGTACGTTCGCTTCAAGGGAATTGAAGGGATTCAAGTTTCCACTTGACTGTTCTGAAGAGAGGATGAGAAAGCAAATAAGCATGAGTCAGGATAAGGAAAAATATTTAAGTTGGATTTTACCGGTATACTGATCCAGGTTCGATTGGTCCTTATTGGAAAAGAATCCGGATATTAATTGGGCCCTGTCGGTACTTTGATCCAGGTGACTGAAGTCGACCAAAGCACATGGCTCATGTCACTGTGTTGATTGACTCTTTTAGAGGTACAAGCGACCAAAAATGGTTGTAAGTAGTCAATGAGTATTATACACATTGACAAACACTTTTGATAGGGTCAGAAAGTGTTAAGTTTAGTATATCTATGTTTAAGTTTTGAAAAGCATCAGTTTTGTCATGTCAATCACATGGATTTGTGTATCATATTTTCGTTACACAGAGAGATAAATTGAAATGCATGTGAGCAGCCAAAAAAATTATTTAGCATTCAAAACTCATCCGGTGGATCTAAAAAATTGTTTGTTTTATTTATACAGCTTGAACCGTGAAGTACAATCCTACGCTGCTACGCTTTGTAAAGTGTGTCTGCAGACAATGTAAAACAATAAAACAAGTTCAAGATAAAGGTCTGTCTACGTTTTAGCCTGGAAAAGTGTCACTGCAGGTTTATCATGTTCAATAGTGGACTGCAAACACACAAACATGATACCAGTGTCACTGCAAGGTCTACATACTCATACACTAAATGTAGCAGAGTGTGGAGTCATCTCATAGATGACATCCTTACTTTGTCAGTGGTCATGTGGACAAGGTGTCTGACACACATCTTTTAAAGGTCACATGCAACGTAAAACACAACTTTGCAGATTCTGATACCTTTCGGTATGGACTTACCGAAACAAATCATCAAAAATGCAAATTCAACTTATAAAGTTGAAACATAACGCGAGGAAAAAACCCCGCGCAAAATCGTAGTTCAAACGATTCACTAACTTTCCCCAGCGCTTGGGGAAATTGAAGTGGTTTCAACAGCTGGGCTGCGCTCATAGCACATGAGCAGTGAAATAGGTTCGCAGGACTTGGAAGCGGGTTGTCCGGTGAATATTCGGTGAAGGCTTTGGTGTGAGCTATTTTTCTAATGTTTTGTTGATATTTCACAGGCACAAGCTTTTTATATATGTTATTACAGTAGATTACCGATTTAACTGTTTATATAATTTCATTTGTCTATTTCACCACATGTTCTTCTTACCGAGTCACTTTCTCAGTTCGATACTTAAAAGCAGTGCTATTATTTAGCGGCGACAGAATTTCTAACTGTGTTATAGATATGTCGTTGTCACAGACAAAACTCAATGTCTGTTTTATTGACACCTATGTGTCTGCCTGCCTGCCTGCTAATGACAATATTCAATACACATTTTCGATCACTGACCACATGCAAATTGAACACCTATCAGGCTATACACCATAAACAAAACGCATTGATTTATGGCCCGAGTTCTGTCTCTGTCACATTATGTAATTAAACAGACAGGCAAGTGTGATACTTGTACACATGACATGTTATGATGTCTGTTGATTGCAAAATGTTATACACAAAAAATGAGCATGTATTTACAAAACCCAACACCTCTATATATACACACACAATGAGCCGTGAGGGCATCTGCAAATGAACCAGCCGTTACACTTGAGTGCACACCCACCCGCTCTGACTGGGTTCGGTATCCCGGCTGCTTTGTTTCTTGGGAAGTAAACCCAAGTACAAAATATTGCACTTTTGATTTGCGATTGTACGCTTATAATTTTGTTTTTATGATTTTTCATAACCAGCAATGTATATTATATGTCATGAATAAGTGATAATTGTGTTTGAATTATCTTTGATATTTTGGTTGCATGTGACCTTTAACATAGTGGTCATGTGGACTAAGACTTTGTATCGGAAGGTACGTGGTTCGAATCCCAGATGCGACCCGGAACTTTAAACAAACCAACATAACTGAGGTGTTAGAGACTTGTACCTGGAGCTGATCTCCTGGGCCTTCTTCACGACATTCTGACATTCGTCAGAGAAGGGAGGTAACTTTGTCAGCAAGTTGTCCACATGCTTCTCTATAATCTGGAACTGAGAGAATAAATCAAATAAATATATATGAAGTACAATGAAGCCAAACATATGTTTACTGAATGTATACCTTTGGCAACATACGTACACAGAACCTCTACTTCAGACAACCATATGTACTATATGTACACTTTAGGCAAATATATCCATCAGCAGACCAACATGGTGGTACGTACATCAGCAGACTAACATGGTGGTACGTACATCAGCAGACTAACATGGTTGTACGTACATCAGCAGACTAACATGGTGGTACGTACATCAGCAGACTAACATGGTGGTACGTACATCTTCAAAGATCTCCTTGGAGCAGTCCGCTGTGTGGATGAAGGTTGTGTAGTTGTGGAAGGCGAGGTCTTGTGTCTCGGACAGGATCTGGGACTTCTCCTCCGCAAGTCTGTCCGGCTCTCGACTGAGACGCTCCACACCACATGAGCTGAGCTCAACCAGATACTGCACGAAGTCTGGGTTGTCTTGCCAACTGTCTGCAACACAAGTCAACACTCAGTGAAGCCTGTTTTATCATGTTTATAGGCAACAATGTGTGTTAAACATGGTTTAATCTTAAACCAGAAAATGTAGATAACCAGGCAATTCTATCATGAAATCACTGCTGTCAGTATAATTGTTCGCCTGTGACAGGGCAGCACATTTAATAACTGAAATAATAGTGGTTAAATAAAACATGTAAGCCTTTACCATTTCATTATCTGATTAAGTTAAACTCAAGTCCGTTAAAATCACAGATCTATTTGTGCAATTATAAATAGATAATGGCTTGATTTTACAAAGGCTCAGGGTTCCTTGTCAGTGGTGTACTAACTGACTATTCTATAATTCAGAGTGCACAATTCTACAATGGATATTGCGTTGGTGCTTGATCTGAAAACGCGGAAAGGAGATAACGTCCCCTTACAATACTCCAAAAACTTTAGGCAAATCGTAGAAGAGGCCTGCTAAAATGTGAATGAAGCTCCACAGCTGCCATGTATGGCTATACCCTGTGCACGTTCGCTGAGAACGTCTGCGGCATTGAAATGACACAATCATCACATCAGACGACAGAGGTTCAAGTTGGGACGCGAATGTACGCACTCAGAAATACTCTCGAGGGGGTAGTTTGTCTTGCAGTCTTTGCAAGTGTGAACTAGTGTTAGGATTCAGTCATGACAACACGACAAAGAGTGACATTGCTACCTGGAAATGCATCCTTGAAAATAGATGTCAGAATGTTTTCGTCTTCCACGTCGAGAGTCGCCATTTTGAAACAGCATACTACTATCTCCACGACTACTTTTGTAGCAAATGTCCATGTTACCTTATTTTGATAAAAAAAAAAAAATCCAAAGCGAATAGATAGTTGAAACTTGATTATGAATCAGATACTATACATATTATACAGTAGTAATGACTGAGAACGTTGGACGAAAAAAGAAAATCTTCCTGTGAGAAATAAGTGAAAATGGTCATGCACAGCACCAGAGACCATATGGTCTCTGACAGCACTCAGCAAGCTATTTTTTTCAGTTCATAATGTTGATAAAGGTAATGTTACAACTGACACAAATCCCGTTATTTTTTAAATCAACATTAAATCAACATTTTGCACTTTCAAAGAGAGCGTTTCCACTCATTATAATGATTCCTCTACCATGTAGGATACCTAAGTGATAATTTTAATATACACCCGGAAAGAAGTTAAGCAACCCCGGTAATTTTAACAAAGTTGTTTCAGCTAACATCAGTATACACACAGAGCGCTGGTAACTGTGCATTATTTGATGTCATGCCTTTTTTAATCAAAAATATAACATGATTTGTGGTGTTTTCCTTAATCAGGATAATATCGAAAAATGTATGATTTAACACCACGCAACGTGACACGCCCTTGAAGAGATGTGGTGTCAGAGGTCAGTTCACAAATTCAGTATCGTGTGTGTCCACCATTGGCGTTGATGCAGGCTTGACAACGACGACGCATAGACGACACTAAGCTTGGGGAATGTCGTACGATATGTCTGAACCAACGTCGTCACGACATGGCTGAAATATTGCCGATGTGACGTTAAATATTAACTCACTCACTGAACCAACGCTTTTCCTAGTTCAGCCTAACGTCAATCACACTCCGGCACAGCGATGACTTAACATAACATCACTGCCACAGGCTAATTTGCATATCACGTGACCGGACTTTTCTCTTGTTTGTAATCAAACGCGCATATTCATAATAAGAAGAGACTGGACTCACGAAAGCTTTTCGGCGCTCTCTTCATAATGTTTTACATTGTTACATATATATTCTTCCACAACTGCGACAGTAAGGTCTATGGCAGTACATATTTAGATACCAAACTGGCTGCATCGTTTGCTCTCCATCAGCTACGAATCGTATTTCTATGTGAAAGGTTTCTTCCTGCGGGATGTGCTAAATGGCAATAACTCATTATTACATCAAAACGTTTTGATTCATAAAGTTTTGTAGCTTCTCTTATTTTTTTTTATTTGTATCAACTGGCCACGAAACTGAACCAAGATAAATTGTTGATATCCATGATTGTTATTATTCAGAGATAACTTGTTATAACCACAATAAATATGTATTATGCACAAATGTGAACGTTCACATGTATTATGGAGCAGCATTAATATAAGCCATTTAGCCTTGTTTGCCAATCCTTTTCTTTCTTCTTGAATAGAATAAAATATGTTTAAACAGCACGTGGAGCCGTACAACCTATGTAAACAAAGGATCGCTACGCAAATCGAAATAGTGTCACATGTTTTAGGATATTTTCTCAATGAAACTAAACCATTCTATCAAAGATGTTTAATTAGTTGTGTACATGTATACTCGTCAAAAATAAAAGAGTTGAGAAATATGTAAATTATATTGAATGGACGTGCAAGATGTGACGAATCGTCACATTTTTCTGGCCTGTGGCAGAGATACTATGCTGGCTTGCCGTAGGAGAGGGGACGTCAATGGCTGGATCTGGGCTTGACGTAAACGTCTCTCCATTTCATCCCAAGCTTGCTCGATAGTAGACTGGTCCGGAGAAACAGCTGGCCAGGGGAGTACCGGAATGTTCTGCTGTCTCAGGAAATCTGTCACAACACGAGCGACATGTGGACGGGCATTACCTTGCTGAAGCGTGATGATGAGATGTGATGCCTCCTGACCGGAACTGTCCGTTGTTTAGTGGTTACAACGCCCGCCCGGAAAGCGGAAGGTCGCAGGTTCGATCCCCGGCCCCGTGGTGTTTCAGAAGGGAGACGGTGATTTCGTAGACTGAACCAGTTCGTAGACGCGGTGAATTCATAGCCCAGACTGGTTCGTAGACGGTGATTTCGTAGACGTGTATTAATAATTGACTAATAGTATATATTAAGTATATTAAGTTTGATTATTACTTAGATTGTGTAGAACGAAGTTGTTATGCTTTGTTTTCAGTGATACGAAACTAAGGGCAGCTAAGGACAAGAAAAGTGTGATTGAAGAGTGAACGAATATTTTCCCGTATCTTGCCTAGACTTGTTTACATGTATTTGTATTTGTATATGTAGGGTTTGTGTTGTATTTTTTGTTTTCAGTGATACGAATATATTGTTACTGTGTGACTTTGTCGGCGGATCAGACAAAATTAGTCTACTCATCATAATTTCCCGACTGTTTTCATTGTTGTGGGTGGATTAACAGGTTTCACTGAGTTGTTGTGAATGTGGATTAACAGGTTTCACTGAGTTGTTGTGAATAATAATTAGGAAGTGGTGAGTTGTTTTGAATGCGAAATACTGTGTGTAGGAGATGTAAGTGTTTTCTTAATAAGTGTTTTCTGCTACTTTTCTGCTGGTCTGCGTAGTTGAATGTTGAATGACGATACTTACCTAATACATATCTTTTAAATTTACACAACTGAATTTACGAACCAGTCTGGTCTACGAATTCACCTACAGCCTTTCAGAACATGTTGTTGCAAATGGTGGTCGTCGAGTGTACCTCAGTGGGGTCCTGTCTTTATGATCTCACGTCACACTTGGTCGTCCTTCAATCCATTGGTTTCCCTGTATGGTTCAAACCAAGCCACTGACAACTGTGTAGCGTACTCTCATTTCCCAACCAGTGGCTGTTTGCTGTCCTAGCATTCACCCGCTTCCATAAACGACAGTCAAGATTCAAGGATCCAGTTTATCGTTTATTGAAGCGGGTGAACGCTAGGACAGCATAGTAAGAACTTTTGTGAAGTATTCAAGGGAGATCCTGGCCAACGGACATCAGTCATCGTCATGGGAGATTCTCAGGGGGATCAACACCAATCTGACCAAGCGGACCCGGGAAAGAGACAAAGGACATTAACGGAAAGGGGACAGGAATATTTTCATTCTTGTTGCACTAGATTTGAAACTAAAATTGATAAGCTGATTGCACGGTTTGAAAAATGCAAAACATGCAGTACAAATCAGGCATTTCATTACAAAAATCAGCATAACACTCCATACCCACCTTTTTCATTCCTTGTCAAATTTATTCATGATATGAGTAAGGTAAAGAATGATCCCAGTTTCATGTATGTCACAAACGTGTCTTCCAGGTCTTCTGTAGCTGACAGTACAAAGGTGTCGACGAGAAAGACTGACGTCTCGCAACAGCCATCCGCTAGCAGACAGGATGAAAGCAATGCAGCCAAGTGCCCTTACCATTCAACGGGACATTCCTTGAATCAGCGTCGTGCATTCAGAAACAGTACGTACGAAGAGCGTAAGGAATTTCTCAAGAACAAAGGTTATTGCTTCAGATGAAGTTCAACCAGTTCTCACATAGCTAAAGGATGTAAGGACAATGTTTCATGTACTTTATGTAACAGCAAGAGACACCCAACATTTTTACACATGGACAAACAGCAGTTGACTTCAACCAGGCAGGCACAGAACTCAACAGATCATGGCGGGGAGGAAAGAAGTTCTTCAGAGGCTATACCATCCCAATGTACACAGGTATGTGGAAACAAACGCGGAGGAAAATCATGTGCAAAGATCATACCTGTCAAGGTTTACTCCAAATCAAGACCAGAACTTTCAGTTAATCTATATACTATGTTTGATGATCAGAGCAACGTATCTTTTGGTAATTCAGAACTCTTTGACAGTCTTTGCTAAAGTGGAAGGAGGTTTCCATACACCATTACATCATGTTCAGGTATTTCTGACTCAAGTGGAAGACGCGCTAGTGATCTTGTGATAGAATCTCTGGATGGCAGCTGTCAGCTTGACATTCCCCATCTCATAGAGTGTAACCAGGTACCCAATGTGCAGGATGAAATTCCTACACCTGAAGTGGCTAAGTACCATATAACCATCTCCGTGACATATCAGATTGTATTGCTCCTCTGGACGCGGACATAACCTGCCGATATTTGATGTTTACCATCCAAAGAAACACGGACAAATCCGAGCAGTGTTTGATTCTCCAGCTACTCTACAAGGAATATCTCTCAACAATGTCCTGCTTCAGGGACCAAATTTAACCAACAGTCTTCTTGGCGTTCTACTTCGTTTCAGGAAAGAATAGGTTGCTTTCATGGCGGACATCGAAAGTATGTTCCATTGCTTTCTTGTGAAAGAAAATCATCGTAATTATCTCCGATTCTTCTGGTTTGAAGAAAATGATCCCACCAAGAACCTGACAGAATAAAGAATGCGAGTACATGTCTTTGGAAATAGTCCATCCCCAGCAGTTGCGACTTACGGTCTTCGGAAGGCAGCCAGAGACGGAGAAGAAACTTTTGGGCAAGACGCAAAACTATTTGTAGAGAGAGACTTTTATGTGGATGATTGATTGAAATCATGTTCATCAACTGAAGAGGCAGTTAGCCTACTCAAACAAACACAGAAATCACTTAGTGAGAATGGTAACTTGAGACTTCACAAGATTGTTTCAAACAGCACTGAATTGATGCAATCATTTCCTTATACAGACTTGTCAAAGGATTTCAAAGATTTAAATCTGTTAGAAGATTCTCTCCCTTTACAGAGAAGCCTTGGTATGCTTTGGAACCTGGGAAGTGATGACTTCACTTTCAAAGTCTCACAAGAGGAGAAGCCTCATACGAGACGTGGTATGTTATCAACTGTTAATAGCATATTTGATCCAATGGGATTTATTGCTCCTGTCTCAGTGCATGGAAAACTACTACTTCGCAATGCAATGGTTGGATAGTCAAGCTGGGATGAACCTCTAGATCAACAACTTGAACAGTTCTCTCCAGCAACTTCAGGACCTTGAGATTCCAAGAATGTTTGTTCCCACCTCCTATGACCTCTCCAGTAGAAAGGAAGTACTGGTTTATTGTGACGCTTCAGAGCAAGCCATAGCAGCAGTTTCGTACCTTCGTGTCACAGATAACACTGGACAGTCACATACAGGTTTCATACACGGGAAAGCTAAAGCAGAAATTTCCTGTCAGATAAACAATCAGGCATTACACTTAATCTCGCGGGTACGTACATGTGGGACAGTGGGTTATCAGATTACTTTAAAGTCTGCTAAACAGACAAAGCTAATGCCCTTTTCCATGATGATGCTGTCAGCCAGTTCGTAAGTCATATACTGGATGCAGCCAAATACATGAAACGACCTGCAGTCAGATGCCAGCTGTTAAGACGCCAGCCTACAAACGACGCGAGGAAGGCGCTTAGGAAATTTAGACTTACACGAAACGACAATAGAAAGAATCACGCAGAAAGTATAAGAGCAAAACAAGAGACCTCCGATTGAAAAAAATTAAGCACTTTCATTCAACATTCTGGTAAATTTTGGAGGGAGAAAAAGAAAGATAAGGGAAACACTTATAAGAATTTTATCATCAGAAGACGAATATGTCCATGTAAAATTAGCCCAGTTTTTAACACATTCGCTGTCGTTAAGAAAGAGTGATTTCTCCTGTCAACTAATTTCACAATGTTATGATGCTTTCCACTATTTACAAAGTCCATACTTTGCCTGTCATTATAACACTATGTATACAATAAACCAGCTTGATCTTGACATGCTCCACCGGGTGTGTTTGGGAGACACAACTTGAACAAAGGTCTTTTAGCCGTCAACCTATTAAGGGGTACTTTACCTGTTTCCAGGTTGGTTAAAACACATAAGTACAAAATGTTATTTTTTTCACATTACTATACTGGACAAAAATAGTTACGGATATATGAAAATTTGGAAATTATGAATAATGATCTATTTATTCATTGACACACTGATAAAATATCAATCATAAAAATACCAATATCCCTAACTTATTTTGTCCAGTATATTTGCAGTGTTAACACTATTATACGCACGCACACACCACGTGTTCCCTGCCCAATCATATCATGTACTAAGTGAAGCTAAACCGTGTAACTCAGAGATTAGACTATAGTTGTTGGCACAGTGTATGACTCATACTGTGTATACAATGAACTGTCATTAAACCAAACAAAACCCTAAATATATAGTTGTAGTATAACAAAATATTGTTGATTAAAATAACTTACAGAAATATAGTTTAATTCATATGGAAATACGAAACAGCTGTGACAGTGTTGTCAGAATGTTTGCAATTAGTGAGATGTTTCATTTTAAATGCATGGCGACTGGGCAATTGTGATGGAAATGATATTAAAACAAGTGACACCCTGGCTGATTTCTAGTTTATTTATAGTTTCAGTTTTGAAGTTAACAGGAAACAGTGATCCGACATGTTCTCCTGTCCACGTGGAGAGGTTGTATTGCCGTCACGGCCACCGTAGGAGGTGACGCTCGGCCACCGTAGGAGGTGACGCTCGGCCACCGTAGGAGGTCACGCTCGGCAACCGAAGGAGGTCACGCTCGGCAACCGTAGGAGGTCACGCTCGGCCACCGTAGGAGGTCACGCTTGTTATTTACACCCTCAGTTCCAACAGTTTTGTCAGTGTGATGCACACGCTAGGGGTCCTTCAACGCTATCTACATTCTTTTACAATAAAATGATATGCTGCAATCCCCATTCCATGGTCTGTGTTGTTACTGGGATGATAGTATGAAGTATTGACACCACAGTTGGAACTGATATACATAAAGGCAAGAATTTATGGATGCAAGCTTTTTTATGTTGAGGAACACGACGTTTCGGAACATATTCTCAGTCCTACGTATCCCAATTGTGTAGATCGATGCTCATGTTGTTGATCACTGGATTGTCTGGTCCAGCCTCGATTATTTACAGCCCGCCGCCACAGCTGCAATATTGTTGAGTGCGGCGTAAAACAACAACCAAACCCATCACTCCTTCATCAGGTGAAGTATGATGGGGTGAGGAAGTAAGGATATACTCTGAAACGTCGTGTCCCTCAAAATAGCGAAGTTGACTTCCATAAATTCTTGCCTTTATAAAATATAAGTATGTTTAAGTTTATCAAATTGTTAAAATGTGAAAACAGTTTTGAAGTATTTAAACGGGCGAAGTGTATTTATCATATCTTAAATGAAAGAAACAAAAATTTGGTGAATCGTTTACACATATTCTCACTCTTGGGCAATAATAATAATAATGATATGATCGTTGTCTATATGCGTAACTCGCCATGATCACCGACTAATATTCAATTGATCTAAACTGTATTGGTCTTTGACCTAATAAAAATCTTGTCTTGTCTTAACAACCCATACACTTCTTCCATTGTGAGATTCAATTTTAATTGTGTCAAGTTTTTTAAGTTGGTTGAGTGTACATAGATTGATTGCTCCTCGTTAACTCCACCGTGGACATCATGAACTTCGTTGTCTCGCGTACGATCTCAGCTGACCAGTGAGGTATGACACGTGTGTGAAAAACCTGGACAAAACAACAACCACGTTAGATGAAAGACGGACACGTGTTTTAACATCCCGCACCCGTGTATATATACTCGGCACATAAAGAAACTGCGCATACAAAAATTTAAAATCTAAATTTATCAAACCTGTGTAGACCCATAAGGATTTAAACTCAGAGATTAGTGACATGTATTCAACATGCATGCACGTGCCACGTTCCGTGACGTCAGTGGGTTCGTCCTTGAGACGTGCAATACGTTGTTGCACGTGCATTCCGGGAAAGAGAAACAGAGCAAATGAATGCCACACAATACTGTCACTTTGGAAAGCTCAACCCCTGCCCTTGCCATCGTTCAAAAAATTAAACGGCTATTGAAACGCATAGCATGCCAAGGCTCACGTCTGCACAACGTCATGAGGCCATTGGGATGTTCCGTGGGGGAATGTCTCAACGACAAGTGGCTGCACATTTCCACTGCCACCGGAACACCATTTCTGCACTGGTGAGACGCTACCAGAACACAAATGACGTAATCGATCGGCCACGTTCTGGACGTCCACGTGTAACAACACCAAGACAGGACAGATGGATAAGGGTGACCCATCTTCGCCACAGGTTTCAGGCTGCAGTGATGACTGCCCGAACCATCCCAGGACTTCGCCGTATCCACCCCAACACAGTTCGACAACGTTTACGTCATCGCGGGATCAGACCACGACGTCCCGCCATACGGCCTATCCTGACACAACGTCATCGACAAGCTCGCCGAATGTGGTGCCGAAATCATGTCCGCAGACCCTTGTTTTGGTGGAGAAATGTTGTTTTTACAGATGAGTCCAGGTTTAACATTTCCCATAGTGATGGACGTCAACGTGCCTATAGACGCGTGGGAGAACGTTATGCACAGGCCTGTGTCTTGGAGAAGAATCGCTTTGGTGGTGGTTCCGTGATGATTTGGGGTGGAATAACAGCACACCAAAGAACTCCTTTGGTGATTGTTCAGGGCAACCTAACTGGTGTGGGCTACAGGGATCAGATTCTTCGACCTGTGGCAATTCCTTTTCTGCAACGTCATGGCCCTGGGTTAACATTCCAACAGGACAATGCCCGCCCTCATACGGCAAGGGTTGCTATGGATTTCTTGCAACACCACAACGTTGACTTACTACCTTGGCCTGCAAATTCACCGGATCTCTCCCTGATAGAGCATGTTTGGGACGAGATGGATCGACGTCTATGCCGTCTTCCTCATCCGCCAGAAAACGTCCATTACCTTGCAACTGAACTTGAGATAATCTGGCGTGACATCCCACAAGCCTTCCTTGCACGTTTGATAGGCTCTATGCGTCGTCGATGCACTGCTGTTCTCAGTGCCGATGGTGGACATACCCGTTATTGAGCTTGTGACATGGTCGTTTGACCCCTGTCCCGCTTGTGGACTCGTGGCGTCATTGTGATTGAATTTTCAATTGAAATTCTCCCGACTTGTTATGGTCTCATGATCCCTCCATTAAAGTTTATATGTACCTTTGACATTGTTATCGTACTTTTCAACTGGGATAATATTTTGACAATGCACAGTTTCTTTATGTGGCTAGTATATATTTCCATACGTTATATAACGTCATACTCGCCCCTCACGGGAATTCGGTTAAACGCTGTGTATTGACACGACAAGGAGGTAACAGGGGATGTGTATGGTGAGGTGGGGTGAGGTGAGGTGAGGTGAGGTGAGGTGAAATTGGGTTTAACGCTGTGTATTGACACGACAAGGAGGTAACGGGATGTGTATGGTGAGGTGGGGTGAGGTGAAATTGGGTTAAACGCTGTGTATTGACACAAGGAGGTAACAGGGGATGTGTATGGTGAGGTGGGGTGAGGTGAGGTGAGGTGAGGTGAGGTGAGGTGAGGTGAAATTGGGTTTAACGCTGTGTATTGACACGACAAGGAGGTAACAGGGGATGTGTATGGTGAGGTGGGGTGAGGTGAGGTGAGGTGAAATTGGGTTAAACGCTGTGTATTGACACGACAAGGAGGTAACAGGGGATGTGTATGGTGAGGTGGGGTGAGGTGAGGTGAGGTGAGGTGGAGGGTGAGGTGAGGTGAGGTGAGGTGAAATTGGGTTTAACGCTGTTTATTGACACGACAAGGAGGTAACAGGGGATGTGTATGGTGAGGTGGGGTGAGGTGAGGTGAGGTGAGGTGAAATTGGGTTAAACGCTGTGTATTGACACGACAAGGAGGTAACAGGGGATGTGTATGGTGAGGTGGGGTGAGGTGAGGTGAGGTGAGGTGAAATTGGGTTTAACGCTGTGTATTGACACGACAAGGAGGTAACAGGGGATGTGTATGGTGAGGTGAGGTGAGGTGAGGTGAGGTGAAATTGGGTTTAACGTCGTACTTGAGAATATTTCGCTCATATGACGACGTGCAAGCGTGTGTATTAGTCTGTCTCACAGTCCCTGAACAACATTATTTTCCCTACTGCCTAACCCCCTCTGCAGTGCTAAAGCCCTAAATAAAGCAAGTCTAGATTTCCTCAGGTTCTGAATCTCTGGTCTCCCTAGGGCTCCTTTTCAATATAAATGATCGTTAGGATGAGAAAGTCACAATAACTCGGTGCGCCTAGTGGCTGCAAGAGTTGTATACTCCCAAGGGAGTTGAGATTGATAATGCGATGTGCCGTTGAGATTGACATCCAGTGATCGAGGGAAAAAATACCAGCGCCTTGAGCATGCACTAGTGCGTGGATATGTGCGCTATATAAATATCCTGTAATAATAATAATAATAATAATAAAATGGGCTTGTTTGTTACTATCCAAATTATATACATTCAGAGACTAAGCCTTAGTCTAGCGTGTGTATGTGCGGCTGCTTGTACTAGCCCAGACTGAAACTAGCTCACTGAGATGACATGCCACAGTGAAGCATGAATACCCCACTCAGACACATTATACTGACTCCGAGTCGACCAGTCCTTGTTGTACCCATTAATACCGGATGTGTATGGTACTAAATGGGAGTAACTGGGTCATGTGATGTGTTTGATAGGCATTCAAGAAGTTGGGTGTCAAATATAAAGCATACAACGTGATGGATGACAACTTATTGTTTATTGCATAGACTTTAGCTGGATACCGATGTAAGAATTTAAATCGAAATGTCGCCCTATGGATTAAACAATAGTTGTCATCCATAACGTTATATTCTTCATCTTTAATTCATATGTTGCTTCCGACATTTTATACAGATATGGTAATTGTCCCATTTACTGTTCATTCCGCCACAGCTGTTAAAAAGATAAACACGACCTTGTGGTGTTGTAGTTGGAAATAATAAATATATACATTTATACGTCTGTTCATCTTGGAATAACAACAGATTGTCACTGTTTATGTTAGTAATTTGTCATTTCACGGCTTTTAGATAAAAAAATATGTTGTTAGGTATATTGTGAAAGGGAAGCTCGCTCACAAAGGGACGTAACTCTAGACGACAGTGATCATATGACAACAATCTTCGACAAAACAGTGACAAATCACTTTTCTCTTTTGCCGCTAGTTCGACTACAGTGGACAGGGATAATTGGTCAGTCCGATATATTTGACCCGCGTCATGTCGCTCGGTAAAACACCCGAACACGAACCGCTGATTGACGACGAGTTCGCACTGAGTTCTTGGGATCGGGAACGTCAAAAGCGGAAACTGAGGTGAGTTGAACCTACTGCGTGAAAACAGCTGACCCCGTTGTTGTGATGTCGGGGTCTGACAAAACTATTTTGGTATTTTATTTGTTTCTTTCAGTTAGATTCTATGTCAGATTGACCGGGTTACTTGAGGGCAAACTTCTGCCTACCACCAGACACCATATAATAATCTATTATATCGATATATGGTCTCTGCTTAAACTTGAACACCTTTAACATTACGAATACATCGTAATACCCTTTGACGTAATTTGTGAAATTTTGTTGTAAAACACGGAAAGAGTTCCTTCCGTTCCCCCAACCCTAAACCTAACCCTAACGTAAATTTTGGACTTTTAGTCATTTTGTGAGTTCTCTAGTAATTGTTGTGTTAAGTTTTGTTAATAATTTTAGTATCCTTGTGTATTCGGTTTTCGGTCATGTAAGGATTGTCGACCAACGTAACATTAAGTGCATAAATAAATCGATAATAAGCAAACCTACCTCGTTTGTTTGTTATTTATTTATGATATTCAAATATCTGACGGATTCACCTCGTGTTTCACCCGCACAGCAGGCCTTCGTAGTTAAGCTACGCTAAAGATCCTGAATGCGAAGTGGCGCTCATCTGTTTTCGCTCACTTCATTGGTTCTCCGTGAAAACAAATCTAATAGCAGTATTAGTGCGCTATGCTGATATTTTTATAATACAAAGTTAATAAACATCCAGTCCAAAAGAATATTTGTAATAGTTCCAATAATAATTATTAGAAACTATGGTTAAGTTAATAATTTCATGTCAAAGTTAATCATGATAAGACTTCGCTAGTTACATCACATGTCCAGGCATATTTCACTCCTCCAGTTCGGCTGACAAGGGCACCAAAAACTCATCAGAAGATCTCACTACACATTACGGAGGTGCACAGCTTGAGGTGGACCCAATGACAGCATGCAGGATGAGTACACTGGGCCCATGACACAGAAATATATTAATTGCAGTTTCGAAAATTAAATGAGTATTTTGGAAAATCGTAATAAGAGATGACCCTATCCAGTTTCCATATATTTTTCGACGGCAACAGCCACGTGGATATGTCATGGGATAATAATATGTCATACTATAAACAAGCGAGACGGCTATACTGAAAAGGTGGAGCTGGCGATATTTTTAGATATAGCATTTTGATTACATGGAAATTTATGCATTAGTAAACTCGGTTCTAAAACGTAACATTTACGTGTGTTTGCAATCATGTACCTTACTAAATTTCACACGAAGCATTTTGTTAGTCAGAGCTGAAGCAGTCGACCTCCTGCTAAAAATAACCTGTCTGGTGACGTAAAATCTCGCTAATAACCGCGAGAAATGAACACGCAAACGGCCGACCGAAAACAGATGTTGAACGAAAACAGATGACTCGAGGATATATTTATAAATATTATTGTGGGATGGGGGAACGGGAGGAACTCTTACCGAAAAGACACTCTCGAACGATACCTTTTCACGTCTTTTGACGACAATGTCTAAATCTGTATCATAGTGTATGGGTCATCCAGTGCGTATAAGCTCCTGTCAGTGACCTGTTATCTCTGCATGCAGTGTCACTGTTTATTATATGGTCTCTGCTTAAACAATGACACAGCATGCAGAGATGACTGTTGACACAGGTAGGTTATAGAAGACAGTAGGGGTGGGTATTGCAGAGAATTTTCATATTGTGATATATTGCAATACGAAAGCATGTTTTGCGATATGTATTGCAATATATTGCATGAAGTATTTTTAAACAAAAATCTACTTATAATCGAGTTACTTCTTGATTTATAGAGCAAAAACACAACAAAATCACTAGGCTTGATTAAGCTTTAATAACAACTGTTAATCATAAATCATTAATAAAAATGTGAATAATATTTGGCACAAATGAAACAAGGACATATCCGAACATTTCCGAGTGTGAAGTTTTCCAAATGCAAGTCAAAATACCGGTTTTCGACCCGCTTTGCAATACGTATCGTTTTCATGTCTGAACCGGTAAATACCGGTAGACCGGTTATATTGCGCAGCCCTAGAAGACAGGTGAGCTATATGAGTCAGGTATAAAATGTGAGACAGATTAGATGTTGTCAGCCTTTTCATCAGGCTTCAGGTAGGCATAATTATCTGAGTATCTGTGACCGGGAGACAGCTGGCGCCACCAAGATAGACATCAATACCAATGCTAATGTAATATAATACCCCCATTCACAGAAGGGGCAGGCATGGCAAGATATGAGGAATGTTTACTGTTTAATATCGTAACACATTTATCAGCCAATGCATTTATTTTTTGTGACAGTTACCATTGTTACTCAAATATATGTTGCCATGGATACATACTTATATTTTGCCTTTTATGGCGTTACTTTTAGCATTTTTGTCATAAAACTGATGTGTTGCAATGTTTTTCTGTGCAGTTTAGAAAATTAATTTCACAAATTTGTGTGGATAACCAACTTCCCAGCTGTTGGGTGATGACATGCTTGATATGGGCGTTTTATTGAGCTTTAGAAAATCTGCTTACTGATTAGGTCATCATGTTTATTGGATATTTGAAACTGCTATCAACGCAGGTTGTCTTGTTTATCAATTATATAGTCCTATTTGATTTTCATTATGTAATCGAGTTCAGATATTCCCATATATAATCATTTTAGCCCCCGGAATTGAGCTGAAACCGTAAACCACATATCGAAAATGTAAGTGGTTTCAAAAATCTACGGCTGGCAATAAACTGCACCCTTGTATTTAGCAATGAAATTATAGTGAACACTCAGCATTGCTTGGCTTAAACCAGAGACCATATAATAGAATAACACACCTTTGTCAACTATCTCACACAACACACCTGTCTTGAATATCTCACCTGTCTCACACAACACACCTGTCTTGAATATCTCACCTGTCTCACACATCACACCTGTCTTGAATATCTTACCTGTCTCACACAATACACCTGTCTTGAACAGCTCACCTGTCTCACACAACACACCTGTCTTGAATATCTTACCTGTCTCACACAACACACCTGTCTTGAATATATCACCTGTCTCACACAATACACTGTCTTGAATATCTTACCTGTCTCACACAATACACCTGTCTTGAATATCTTACCTGTCTCACACAATACACCTGTCTTGAATATCTTACCTGTATCATACAATACACCTGTCTTGAATATCTCACCTGTCTCTCACAATACACCTGTCTTGAATATCTTACCAGTCTCACACAGTACACCTGTCTTGAATATCTCACCTGTCTCACACAATACACTGTCTTGAATTTCTTACCTGTCTCACACAGTACACCTGTCTTGAATATCTTACCTGTCTCACACAATACACCTGTCTTGAATATCTTACCTGTCTCACACAATACACCTGTCTTGAATATATCACCTGTCTCACACAATACACTGTCTTGAATAGCCTACCTGTCTCACACAATACACCTGTCTCTAATATCTCACCCCTCTCACTCAACACACTGTCTTGAATATATCACCTGTTTCGCATAACGCACAGTCTTGAATATATCACCTGTCTCACACAACACACCTGTCTTGAATATCTTACCTGTCTCACACAATACACTGTCTTGAATAGCCTACCTGTCTCACAAAATACACCTGTCTCTAATATCTCACCCCTCTCACTCAACACACTGTCTTGAATATATCACCTGTTTCGCATAACGCACAGTCTTGAATATATCACCTGTCTCACACAACACAACTGTCTTGAATATCTTACCTGTCTCACACAATACACTGTCTTGAATATCTTACCTGTCTCACACAATACACTGTCTTGAATATCTTACCTGTCTCACACAATACACTGTCTTGAATAGCCTACCTGTCTCACACAATACACCTGTCTTGAATATCTCACCTGTCTCACACAATACACTGTCTTGAATATCTTACCTGTCTCACACAACACACCTGTCTTGAACAGCTCACCTGTCTCACACAACACACCTGTCTTGAACAGCTCACCTGTCTCACACAACACACCTGTCTTGAATATCTCACCTGTCTCACAATACACCTGTCTTGAATATCTCACCTGGCTCACACAATACACCTGTCTTGAACAGCTCACCTGTCTCACACAATACACTGTCTTGAATATCTTACCTGTCTCACACATACACCTGTCTTGAATATCTCACCTGGCTCACACAAATACACCTGTCTTGAACAGCTCACCTGTCTCACACAACACACCTGTCTTGAATATCTCACCTGTCTCACAATACACCTGTCTTGAATATCTCACCTGGCTCACACAATACACTGTCTTGTATATCTCACCTGGCTCACACAACACACCTGTCTTGAACAGCTCACCTGTCTCACACAATACACTGTCTTGAACATCTTACCTGTCTCACAATACACTGTCTTGAATATCTCACCTTTCTCACACAACACACCTGTCTTGAATGTCTCACCTGTCTCACACAATACACCTGTCTTGAACAGCTCACCTGTCTCATGTACATTCTAAACACACAGCCATATACCAGACACAGCATATTCGACTCACAGCAGTTGGGCTGTATAATTGCCTGCCTGCCTGCTGAGCTCACAATGTTCTGTGTGTTGCTCCTGGTCAGCTGGCGGAATGTAATCGCTGACACAGGTGGGCAGACCCAGTCAGCTGTGTGGCATATTGCTGCATGTTCAGGTGTTAACTTATCACAACCTGACACACGAGAGATCAGCTAAGCGATTCAGTGCTCATGTGGATGTAGAAACTGACTTTGTTGAATATCTGTAACAATCGATCAGTGAGGTCATGTGCTGATCAGTGCAGTCCCAGATAAAACAGAACCACTTTGTTGTGAGAGACGGACACATACGGAGGACAGTCCAGCAGTGGTCAGTGAGGACCAACATGTACAGGGCACGGAGACAGCACTCCACAGATCCTCTGATATCCCCCGTCCCATCTACTGTGTTTCTGAGGTATGTCCCCATCCCATCTTCTGTGTTTTAGAGGTATGTCCCCCATCCCATCTACTGTGTTTCTGAGGTATGTCCCCCGTCCCATCTACTGTGTTTCTGAGGTATGTCCCCCATCCCATCTACTGTGTTTCTGAGGTATGTCCCCCGTCCCATCTACTGTGTTTCTGAGGTATGTCCCCGTCCCATCTTCTGTGTTTCTGAGGGGTATGTCCCCGTCCATCTTCTGTGTTTCTGAGGTTTGTCCCCGTCCCATCTTCTGTGTTTCTGAGGTATGTTCCCCGTCCCATCTACTGTGTTTCTGAGGTGTATGTCCCCTGTCGTCCATCTTCTGTGTTTCTGAGGTATGTCCCCCATCCCATCTTCTGTGTTTCTGAGATATGTCCCCATCCCATCTTCTGTGTTTCTGAGGTATGTCCCACGTCCCATCTTCTGTGTTTCTGATCATGATGTATGTCCCCTGTCCCATCTTCTGTGTT